TTATTTATATTTGAATTGTTTTTTTAAATAATATTTTTGTGATTTGTTCTAGGACGACACATTGAAGGCCATTGGGTCCTTGGACTTATTGAAGATGGGAGTGAAGACCTTCGGCTAGAAGTTTGCCCGGAGAATGTGCGCTCAGCAGAAGTGTTGGTGCCCCTGATCCAGAAGCATGTGATTGAGGGGTCAATTATACATACAGACTGCTGGCGTGCATATGATTGTCTGGGTTCTTATGGATACATCCATAAAAAGGTGAATCACTCGGACCCAGACAATCCTTTTGTTGCTCCAGATGGAACTCACACACAAAGGATTGAGGCACAGTGGCGTGTCGTTAAAAAGTTTTATAAAGATAACATAAATAACCCTAAAGATTTTTCTGATAGTATAGTTGAATATATGTGGAGACGAAGAATACAAAGAAATAAAAAAGATTTATTTTTATCGCTTATAGAGGCCATAAACTTTGTTTATAAATTTAAATAAAGAATTTATTTTTACTCTTTTGTTTTATTTGTGCCTACATAGTTCTCTATATAATATACATATATATATATATATATATATATATATATATATATATATATATATATATATATATATGTATATAGGCCAGAGTTCAGGCCAGAACAAAACTGGCGACACGTCAGGTTTGGTAAGAATTGTGTCCGTTGAACATAGATCAGCCCCAGAATCGAACCCCTGTAAGTAAGAAGGTCGAATGTAAAGCGTCAGACGGGGTAGAGAGAAGATTAGAGCCTCCCCCCCCCACTTGATTTAAACAAATACCATATTAAATTAATCAATATCAATATTTTATAGGTTAGGATAGATTTTTTAATATATTTCAGAAACTATACGTTTCCGCATCCCCCCCTTTTAGGGGGGGGTTCACCACTACCCCCCCCCCCCCCCCCCCCCCCCAAACCCCTCCCCCCCCTCCTCCGCGTGCGACCGTAAACTAAAGCACGACCTAACTGGTGCCTTTTTTATGTGAAAAAGTGGCAAACAAGCTGACAGTTCCACGGTGATGTTAAGTGATAACCGCCGCCCATGGACATCTGCAACACCCGAAGGGTTGCAAATACGTTGCAACCTCTCAATAAAGCGGGCACTCACCAGACGAAACGCAGAAGTGTAACACGTCTACTTTACGCTGGCCTTCTGTGAGGTCGTAGTACTTACCCGGACGAACCTACCAGTCGTTGAACAGCGAACTGTTGCGTGGCCCTAACCCAATTGTAACGCATATACGAGTATTATAAACTTCTTATAAACTTAAAGCATGCCAATTCTCACAATACAACGTGCGGCAAATAATTTCTTAAATTTATAGTAGGATAATTATCTCATTTATAATTACGAAATACAACAAAAGTTTTTGACATATTATGAAAAATCAATTACCTTTTGGTGAGCAATCAGCTAGAATATTCTCGAAGCAATTTGCAAGCACCCTATACTGACACAGTAGATGTATTAGATGCGCTTGCATAACAATGTCGTTTGTCATCACGAAATATGCGACGTAATTGAATCCGATCTGTATTAGGAGGTAGGTTATTGGGTAGAGGGTGGGTGTGCGATAGTCGTATGGCAGGTACAAAGCGACAGTTAAATTATACGGCACGTCGTCAACCAAGGGGTAAATATACCTGAAAATTCACCACCCTTACATATAACTGCATGAAGTAGTCTATCAACTTAGTCATTGATAACTTGTTATTACATTAGTATTTTATACCTCATATAACATTCGTCTCATACGTTGTTAAGTCGGCCAAAATGTTACTTTAATGTATTAAACATTTAAAAAAAGTAACCTACTTCATATCTGATGTAAAACAATTCAAGGCTAAAAATATAACAGGCTTGAAAAGCTTAATTTCCCAAGGTACCTTACAACAGTTGTTAAATATGAGAGATATTGCGTATAAGAGATATGAGTCAAATATAAGAGACATGTATGATATGTGATTTTAATTTGCCTTTTATCTACTGGTATTAAATAAAAATGGCTTATAATGCAGTAATCAATGTTTTAAATAGTTGTAATGTAACAACATTTTATGTATCTATAATAAGCGTGTTCTTTATGTAAATTATGTCTGGCTAGGACAGAATATCAGAGTTGGTGTACCTTCGGTGCTAAATTTTGCGTCTTGGATCATTTTGTCTTGATATTTGTTGTTTTTATTACCGTTACTTTTTTATATATTTTTGTTAATGCTTGTATATATTGTGTAGAACGACGCTCCACTAGATGGAGTGACGACCTATGCAAATGTGCGGGAGGTCGATGGAGGCAGGTTACTCAGGATCGTACTTTGTGACAGTCTATGGTGGAGGCTTATATTCAGCAGTGGATTCAAACAGGCTGAAATGATGATGATGTTTATTTAGAAAAATAAACGATTTATTATTATTATTATTATTAAAAATATATTTGTACTATCTTTCATTCCATGTGGTACCTAGGTGGGATCGGTATAACATACGAATTATGTTATTAATGTTATTGATAAGGTTTTCTCACCGGCCGCTGTGTGACCTCTACCGTCCATGGGAACAGACACTCAGTTACGAAGCAATTACCCGTGGTTCACAAAGGTCACCTATCCCGTGTGGGAATCGAACCCACGACTTAGCAACTGCGCCTCCGAGTCAACTAAAAATATCCATTTATAATTAATAGACCAATTTTCAAAGGGTTGTCAACGCATCTGTTGCAGATGTAGCAAAGCCTCGGGTGTATCAGATGTCCATGGACGGCGGTATTCACTTAACATCAGGTGAACCGTCTTCTCGCTTGGCAACTTCCACATAAAAAAAAATTAATGGATGTTACCACACGGCAAGTGTACACGTCCCCAAGATCAGCAATAACTTCAGATATTTTGCATTCGTCCGCGCCCAAAATATAACCAGTGCCCTCCTGTGTTTCGTTGAAATGTCGAAATACGGCGATTGCATGGACGCAGCCAGACTCTTGTAAAACGCTTTATTGGTTACCTTAAAGCGGTTGATAATTATAGAAAGGTTTCAACAAAAACTCAACTGAACCATAATGAACCTAAAATAAAATTAGCTTGTATAGCTGGAAAGATGAGGATTAATGGATCAGAAGTTTTCTTTTTGAACCGAAAAAAGATGTGTACCTACAAAGTTTTTGCGGGAAAAAAAACTTCGTACACATCTGTGACAAGTGTACAGTAACTACTTAGATTTAGATAAAAAAGATATATGCTATTGTTCTCTAAGTTGATGCTAACCAATTTATTTACATCATTATAATCAATAAATTAGACGTACCATATTCCTGTATCTATAAATAGCTATAAGATGAATTAGAGTAACATTGATATTATCTATAATCTCATTCAGACTTTTAGCTTCACTGATAAGATACCATAATTCGCTCAAAATAAATAAAAATATGATGAACTTCACAATTCCGCTGTAAATTGTATAGGATACACTTCGTTCCAATGAAGAAAAACCTGAAAAAAACAATAATGAAACTGTTAATATATTTGAAATAATATCTCATTATTTTTAGCTTTTCTACGACAATGAACTCAATAATCCTTTTTAAGTATATGCATATTTTATTCTCATTTTCTTAAAAAATGTAACTGTGTAAATTAAAAAATAGTTTTTATGTTAGATAGTGATAAAAAAATAATAAACGTAGAACATTTTACTGCTAGTAGTCGACTCCTATAAAACAAAAAAAATATCTCACCCATTATATAAGTCCATCGATAGATGAATTCAAAAAAATCTCTTTCCAATTTCTTACAACTATGATTGAGTTCTTGTGTTGGGGTTAATTTTATCCAAACTAATTTAAGCACGTCCATCACACACGCTCAAAACAAAAACTGCAGCAACTAATGTGTAATAGATGACACTACAGGCAGCATGTTTGATAAACCAATATTTAGACAACAATAATAATGATGTTTAAAAATAAGGCACGAAGATTTTTTTAACAAAAAAAAACACAGTTGAGTTTTACACCTCAAGTTATAAAGACAAACTGATCATTTATTTGATTGTTTCTACCATCTCGTAATATCAACATTAATCTTAAAATCTGTGCCTAAAATTACATATTTTGAACATTTTAAAGATTCTTTAAAGTTGAGTCCATAATGTATGTACTACGGGTACGTGTGTGAATACTTAATTAATATCATTGAATTAAATTATATTTTGGAATCTTATCTAAGCTAATAGTGGTAAAAAGTTTGAGGTGATAATAGAGGTGATAAGTTTGACCTGTCTAGTTTTATGATAATTCTTCCATTTCTCAATTCAATTCAATTCTAAATTTTTTGTTGTATTTGTAGATTTGCTATTTAAGTACGAGTACCATGACATAATAATGGAATAAACGTTTTTGCATTGGTAACAAAGTAGGGTTGCGGGCTCATTTTAAAGCCCTATTGTTTTTCTATTACCTAAACAATCTGAATTAAGGTATGCTAAGGATAAGGTTAAAAAAATATATGAGGAAGTAAATACTTTAATTAACATTATTGAATTATCATAATATATCACAAACATAGAGATCAAGATAACTTTTTATGATTTTAATTATATTAACAACATCTCGTATATAACTACTTAACATATAAAATATATTAATATGACAACACTTATCCAAAACCACCATTTTAATACAAGGTATTATCAATTGGGATAATGAAACAATGACTTTACAAAGTACTATAAAGAAGCATTCTTCTAAATAGACGCTTTAATTCGCTTATTCAAAGATTACTGCACATTTAAATCCTTGAGCATGTAAGCAATCCTATTAGCTACACACGTTTTAATACGTACGCGATTAAAATAACTAACAAATCTGACGCATACATTAGCAACACATGCAAAATAGATATCACAATTGAGATTGTCCTCCGAAATGATTTGAAAATAAATAACAATCGGAAGCCATCGTAAAGTGAGATTCGATTGTCATTTTACAAATCCAAATAGGTTATCTTGGTCGCCGTGAAGGCGGCGGCGGCGGCGAGAAGCGCTGCGACGGTGACCACCGCCGCCGTCGAGCCCATAGCCTTCACGGCGAAGCCCATTATGAAGGAGACCAACAGCTGAGCGACGAAGACACAGCTGCTCACCACAGCCACATCCGTTCCTATGCCTCGCTCCTCGCCACTACCTCCGCCGGCACTGTCCCACTGCAACAAAGAGTTTATTGTTATTTTTTATTTATTTATTCTTTATTGCAATTACCTTAAGCAAAGATTACAAAGGGCGAACTTAATGCCTTTTGTCATTCTCTCCCAGTCAACCCGGGGCGTTGTGAGAAATCGTGGTAGGTGCAATAATTATATTATTTATTTATATGTATTGAAAATACACATACAATAAATAATTAAACACATACATATATAAATATATAAATTTAAAGAGTTTCATCGTGAAGAGCGTTCTTAAACGTGGTAGGGTAGGGCCACGCAACACTCTTCGATGCTGCACGAATGGGCACCTACCTTACCGTAGACTCCCGTGAAGTGGAAGTGTTATGCTTTGGTGAGTAAGATACGAGTAACCGGGGCCTACTTTATTGAAAACTGGCAATGCATCTGCATCCCTACAGGTTTAACAAATGTCCATGGGTGGCGGTTGTCACTTAACATGAGATTAACCGCCAACTCACTTGCCATATTCATGCCTCAATAAAATTAAGAACTACCTCTAGTAACGACCATGAGGTTCACTTGATAGTTGTTGACAACGCCGCCTATGGTTATTCGAAAAATCTGAGGCTGTTTGAAATCTACTCTCGGTGAACGAAATATCACTTTTTAGCTATCCCCTTTTCAAATATTCGTAGACGTGCTCTTTGTGTTCATCCGTCTGGTCATAACTTATTCTCTTTGCCATATCGTCTAATAATTAAAGAGATTTTATTTATAGATTTTATTTATTGGAGACTTGAGTGGATGTAGAATGTGTAGTATGTAATTTGAAGAAATGTGCGATCAATTATTAATTTAAGCACGTTATTAAAGAATTTTAAATTACGCAACGACAATTTATTATTATTTCTTTTTTGATAAAACATTGCCCTTACTTTAGGATAACATTATAATGTGTCGCAAGAGCGGTTTTACAATATATAATATTATATTATCACAGACAATAAGAGGCTTTAAGCATCAACGATTTTGTGTCTGCAATCCATCGAGTGGTTTAGATGTCAATGGGCGGCGGTATTCACTTAACATCAGGTGAACCGTCACTCTTAACATCCCTTGTCAACTTTTCACATGACAATAAAAAAGGAGTAGAACATGAATGGAAAAGTTCTGTAACGGATAGTGCATCCTGATATCCAACTTAAAGTTAAAATTCTAAAATTACTTAAAAACTTAAAATGCACCTTCTCTAAACTCTAACCTTATCATCACAGCGGGAGCGGAATAAGAAAAACAACTCAGAATAAAGAAAAAGAGAAAGCGATTCAGTTATCTAAAAATATTCGACAAAAAAATCATGCTTTAAATAAATTATAAACCCATTTAGTTTCACGAATAATTACAAAGTGGCGGCGAAGTAAATCCGTTTGATGAGTCGTTTACATTATGCAGCCATTGTCGTCCGATCGCGAGTGTAAATACTGTCTTTGAATATTTGATGCGATGAACACAAGGTCTCGGCGTCGTCGACGCTGGCCTATCATTATGTTCGGTAGATTTTCATCATGAACGAACACTAATGGATTTTATATGGCCATATATGGACGTCGTAAAAGCGAAAACAATTTAATATTATTCAGGATATTTAGGAAATTCTCTTTATTTTTTTACATTTTTATAGTTAAACAATAAAACAATCGTTGTTCGAGGTTGACCTAAAAGTAATTACGTTTTATTTATGCAGGAAGAATGACGCGAAGAATTCTGACCGCTAAAGAATTAGCCTCATTCAATAATAAGTAACAGTTTACAACTTTTAACATTTTTGTACTAGTAGGTATTTATTTTATCCCATATTCATAATTAAATTGAATACCGAACAAAAAATAATAAGAAAAACCGGTTAAGTGCGGCTCGAACTAGTACGCCGATGGTTCCGTACGCCGAGGGTTCCGTACCTACCCGTTATAATATAATAGGTAAAAAATCATAACCATTTCTCTGGAACAGGTGGACGTAGCAAGTTGAAATTTTTTATACAAGATACTGAGGGCTTATAGTCATAAAATCAAGGCCCTGAATCAAGGTCATATAATAGGACTAAGCTATCATGCAGGACCTGTCGTAAAAGGCGACTACAAGGGTACACGGATTGGCAGCAACACAAAGTGGTCTCGAGCTGCTGCAAGATGGTGAGAGAACCGGGGAAGGTCTATCCTATTAGTACCGAGGGTCACCAGTGCGTTCCATAGGAGATCCCGGAGTCCCTCCAAACGTACAGAAGGGGACCGCCGAGGGGGTTTTTGTGGTTAAGAACCCCTGTAACGACAGGGTATATTTTAAAGATTCACACAACACCAGAGATAATCGAAAAAAACGAACTCCTAATATTAAGTATTAAAAAAGCCCTTTAAACGTAAACATATTTCGGCATTAATTTAAATGTTACATTTTAATTTGGCTCTTACGTACGAATAACGTACGAATATCTTACGAATAACATACCATACCATTTTGGGGTGAATTCTACGCCGACATTCATGTCAGTAGACACACTGAGTTTGGTGTCATCATTTTAAGCCTTAGTAAAGTCAAGATTCAGAAAATTTGATACCGCTGCAAGAAGTTTAAGGCGTCATAATCGCCCTGATAGATAGTAACTATCACGTTTTGCTTGGAATGATTGCAAAGGAATTCTGTAGATGGAATATAAAGGAAAGCATACTCATATAACCGCTTCTACAATAGTGAGACTTTAAGATGCCATCACTAATGACGAGAAAAATAATTCAAAGTTTTTATATTTTTTTATAGTGCTAATCTGTGGACTTAAGATTAAACATATAATAATATTTTTTTTCTGTTGTTGTAAATTTGTAATAAATGCACCTACTCTAACTTTTCCAGACCACCCCAAGGTTGACTGGGAGATAATGCTGATGGCATTAAGTCCGCCTTTGTACACAAATGTTTGTGCAGAAAGTTTAAATAAATAAATAATAACACAATTTTTATTCTTTTGTAAGATAATGCATCGGTTTTCAAGAGTGCTCTACCAAGTTCAGATTTCTAGAGATTTCTATAATGACTATAAATCTTATGTAACGACTTTTATGTTAAAAAGTGTTAAGTAGAAAATAATTCACACACGCAAATAAAATTAAGGAGACTACTTCATTTGAGGGGATAAGTCAAAAACAATTTATAAAAAGTTTGAAAAGCCCTTTGGGTTTTACTAAATAAGTTTAAGCTAAATGTGAAAAAAATAATTAAAATGGAGAAATAGTTTTCGTTTTATCCATACTAATATTATAAATGCGAAAGTAACTCTGTCTGTCTATCTCGCTTTCATGCCAAAACTACTGAACCGATTTAAATGAAATTTGGCACACAGATAGTCTAGAGCCAGAGAAAGGACATAGGCCGTTATGGGCTATTTTTTAATTGGAAAAAAGTGTTGTTAAGGGTTGAAAATATCTTTCTTTAAAAAATATACATAGTTTTTAAAGGGCTTTAACGGCGAGCGAAGCCGCGAGCAGAAAGCTAGTATCATATATATCCCATCCATGCCTAGGATTTTACCTTTCTAAAAATATGCAAATACTGACATTTTTATGTGCGAATAATTTTATTTGAATGAAGTCATCCTTCTTTACTATAAACAACATCCGTAATAAAGTTTTATTCTTGGTTAATAAATATTGTCTTTAAAGTTTTTCGTAAGTTCATTTCTTGTGGGAATCTTCTCAATTTACTCGTATTCATATCATTGAATTCAATCCAATGAATACAATTTCACATGTATAATGGATTGAACACGCTAACTTAACTATCAGTAATAAAACTTTATCGCTCGCTAAAACTCGTTTTGTGATAATTTGCGAGGAAAGCGCCACATCATGGCTGCGCAGCGATTTAAGAGCGATAGATTAAGATTCGTAATAGTATTATTCTTTTATGCTTCTTCTGGTGAGGTTTAATGTTTGCAACCCATCTGAACCCGTCAGTTGTTGTAGATACCCATGGGTGGCGATAATCACTTACAAGTCAACTGAACCGCCTGAGTGTTTGTAAACTTTTAACATAAACAAGTTATTAGGAACTGTATAAGGAAAAGTTTTGTCGTACATTTGGAAACATCGCATAAAATAACAGAAATCTCATCAGTCACAGGAAAACCTTGCACAAGGAAGTCAAATCCTCTGTCTTGTCACGACTTTGTACTGCGAACAAAAAAATAAACAATCTGGCCAACAGTGACTATTGGAGAGAATTACCATGCCCGTTGCGTGATAGTGCGCCACCAGCAGGTAAGGCATGGTGAAGAGCGTCGAATACATGACTCCAGCTGTCCAGCTGAAGAGTATCACCGCGGCGCGAGCGCGCAGTATACTCAGCACTAGCATACCACAGCTGTAAGTGCATAGCCCGCCGACGTACACCTTCTTGGCACTAGAATTATGAAAAGATAACAGAGGATAAAGTTAAATATATTCCGCACTGTTGACACCATCAAATGTAAGTTTATATAAGATAGGTACTGTAGCAATAGCTTTAAAGCAGCTCTTTAAAACGATAAATATATTTGAAATTTATGATCTTATATTATATCTTGAATTGTGCGTGTAATTCCCATCTCAGTTCATATCACTTCAAACTAAGTCAGAATCAAAGAAATGATGGACAATTTTACTACCAGCGTCAGTAGCTAGAAACCATCCCCTCATGAATAAACATGATTATAGTAAGCAATTATGATTAAAGCCCAAAAATGTTGCACTTTTTTCTAATTTAATAATGACTTTAATTTTCCAGATGTAACACATCAGCAGGATACTATAGGTAGTATTATAAATAAAAATCAGTGTCAATTTCAGAAATACCATTAAGATGTGCTCATTGTATGTAATCAAAGATTTGATCGGACATACCACGGATATGCGTTATAGCTCTGTGCGGGTGACAGGCTGACAGCTGTCATTCAAATCAAGTTCCGTAAATAAATAAATAAATTTTGCAATGTTACAATGTACGCAAGGCAATATTATACTTTATTGCTATGAGCGCACGTATAATAAATCGAGATAATTGTACATTTTTATATTCAAAATCTCTATTTGTACAAAAATGGATATCAATAGATCGGATGGCTAAAGTTCAAAAAATTGGTATAAATGGAACTTTAAATTGTAAAGTTTTGTATATAAATGAACAAAAACTTTCGGCGCTGCGGGATTCGAACCTGCATCTTCTGGCTTAGCGCCCAGACGCTTTATCGACAAAACTAAGCCGGCTAATTACCTCATGGCGCGAACATCTTGAAATCTCTCTACAAATACTACAGAATACTACAATAGAGCCGTGATAGCTCAATGTCCCGGCGCTCGCCTTTAATTCAATATACTGGAGCAACCTGAGTTCGATCCCCGGTGCCGGCAACAATGAAGTTTTTAACTTTAAGTGCTGACTTATCACGTGCTCCACGGTGAAGGAAAACATCGAGAGGAAACCTGCATATTTTCGAAATAATAACAAAAAAAATATATTTCGAAGATATGTGAAGTCCGCCAATCCGCAGTGGGGCCGCGTGGTGGACTATGCCCTGATACCTCTGTATAGAGGAGGCCTTTGCCCAGCAGTGGGACATGTATAGGCTGTTACTTTTTTACTTTTTTACTACAATAGAACGAACCTATTGCATTACTAGCAATTGGTGCCAACTAGTGTGCATTTACAAAATACAACAGCTTTACAAATAACATTAAAATTATAAAGGAATTGAAAATGGATATCAAAATTTTCATAATAGATACATTTTAACGAATTTCGTATTTATCAACTTATTTATTTTAATTGTTATAGTAAAGTATTCTAAGTACTATAGTAATTAAAAAAGAAGTATTGATTATTATACTAAATACTTCTTTTGGCGCGTTAGAGAAAAATGATGAAAGTAAATTTTTACGATGCGCTCACTGTCACGAAAAACCGACACCCTGAAGTTAGCTAGACATCTACGTATGTTTGCATGAGAACTGACAACTGTATTCACGATATTTATTTTGTGACATTTAAATAAACTTGATTTAACTACATATTGCGTTATAATAAAACTTTCAATGTATTAAATACCGTGTTGTTTTTTTATTGAAATTATACTTATTTTGACGCATTTGGAAAAAATAATGAGATTAAAATTTACACAATGCGCGCGCACACTGACGGTCAAAAAGCGATGATGAATTTGGTGGCAAAGCGACCAATTTCACCATGGCAACCGATAACAACTTTTTGAGATTTACCTATAACTCCAAGTTATTTCATTAAACCGTTATCATTTAATGTCCTTTTCACAAAGAGTGATGGCACAGGGTATAAAATTTTTAGTTCTTTTCTTTTGTTACGTTAAAGAAGTATAACTTCTTACGTGCGTATATAAGTATAAGCACTAGGCCCTGACAATCGATAATCGAAACTTACTATTTCCAAGTAAAAGTTTTACCAATCTCTTGTCATGTCAGAATCCCAGTTGTCACCCGCACCAAGATACAACGCAGAGACTGTAGGTAGTAATTATCTTTAGTTTCAGAGCAGTGCATATTGATTTTTAAAATAACATCGAAGCCAATCAACTGCCTCGTGACAAACTATGAAAGTCAAGGGCTGTATGATCCTATTACTCGAAGACAGTTGAACACAAGTTGAAGGGTAAAAAGTCTTCCGTGTGCCAACTGTAAGCGGTGATCCACCGACATCACCTTGTACTTGAAACGATACTTTTCTACTTCCGCCATTGTTATGAAATAAACACAGTAATACTATTAAATACATTCGATATTGAAAAATTATAAAAATCTGTTTAAGATTTCTAGAACTCCATATTCAATTAAAGTCTTGACTTGTGCAACAAGACAATTATTGCTGTGACCTTATAACCCTCCTTTTTAAAGACACACAAAAAATTTCATTAAAATTGGTCCAGCCGCTTAGGAGGAGTTCAGTGACATACACACGTACAAAAGCATTATATATATATAAACTAGCTGACCCGGCAAACGTTGTTTTGCCGTATAATATATATAAATTATTTAAATTATTTGTATTATAATATATAAATTATTTGTAGGATAGAAAAAAATGTTTGGAGTGGACCACCCTTAACATTTTGGGGGATGATTATTAGATGTTGTATGATTCTCCACCCTGGCCGATATGCACACAAAACTTCACGAAAATCGGTCGAGCTGTTTCGGAGGAGTTCAATTACAAACACCGTGACACGAGAATTTTATATATTAGATATGAAACGTTAATAAAGCAACGTATATAAAGACATACATTGCTTTATTAACATTGTTTTAGCGCTTAAGCAACAAGCTCACCCTAATCTTTTAATTAGTTTCTCTATGATGGTGGAGTAGCAAGCACACGAAAGTGAGTACATCGCCATTCCCCAGCAGCCAAAGCGCACTCCCGCCTCGTAATCTATCCGACTCGGACTTCCCACAGGCGCCTGCAATAATATTCACAGCAATGTTGCATAAAGTGGTTTTATTTGATTTTTACTCATCATCATTTAAGCCTCTCTGATTCAACATTGGCCTCTCTCACAGGCTGCCACGAAGCACGATCCTGAGCCAACTACATCCATCAACTTCCCACTCACTTGCACAGGTCGTCACTTCAATTAATTTTTAATCACAAAATATAAGTTCAGCTAATAGCTATAAGTATTATTTTATATTTTATTGGTACAGTAAACTATTAAACGTACTTGTTACAATCTGTTCTCGTTTTCTTTAAACAAGCTATTAGTTTTTGCGCTTAATAAAAGCCAGTAAAAACCTAAGTCTTTAATACGAATGAAAAAGATTTAGCAAGCTTATAGAAACGATAAATACTTACAGCTGGATTACCACCGAAGACGGCTTCGCCGACAAAGTCCGTGAAATATAGTGAATAGCAGACATGTGCCATCCAGCAAAAGAGGTTAGTCAAGCATACCACACGTAGGGAGTTGGGCATCACCACTATGGACTTGAGATAATGACGCAATGACAATTGCTCCCCACCATGTGGACATTCTGGGACGTTCAGCGTAATTTCGACCTGGAATATAATTCATATAATTTACAGACTACCATACAAACCACTGTTCAAATTATTCTTAACATGCATTCACGCATTACATAGTTCATGGAATTTATATGTATAAAGATATATTCTAGTATGTATCGGCGATCACCACGTGCACTCGATGAGCAGTTACTACTATTTTTATCGCCTATTGATACCATTAATAACGATGTAATACCTTTTTTGCATGAAAACTTATTGCACAATATGTGATCATTAACAGATGGTTGATTCAGATAGTATTTTACATGCTATTCCGTTCAATTACCTTCAATTTGTTTATTAAAAAGTAACTAGGACTCACAAATTTGTTAGTAGTTTCTCAAAAAGTAAGTAAATGCGCATTTGAGTCTTTACAATTTTCATTTCATTGCTGTAGAAGAACCATGCAACAGTTGCTGTGGCATGAATGGACAGGACGTGGAAGTACCAGAGCATCACAGAAGACCTGCGTGAAGTGGAAGTATTGAACTTTCGCGTTTCGTCTGCTGAGTGAGGTAGCCGAAGCCCACTCTTTCAAAGGTTGTCAACGCATCTGTAAGCCATCGGGTGCTGTAGATGGGTGAGAGATACCCATGGGTGGTGGTATCCATTTAACATCCGTTTAACCGCCTGCTCGCTTGAAGACGTTTCACAATAAAAAAAATCCAATAACAATCACCTCCGGTTGATTCAAAGATCCGTACGACGCGTTCTCCACTTTTAGACCGTTTTTCTCCACTTCTCCGTCGTCGTCGTCGAAACTTTCGCGCAGTCGTTCACTTCGAGCCGGTTTCCTGAGCTCCTCATTCCCCTGCAGCTCGCTCAGAGGGATCTCTTTGAAGCTGGTCACAGTGGCCGAAACGCAGGCGATGAAAATTATAGTAATCAGGGAAAAGACTGCCCTGACGTGACCGCCAAATATTTCACCTGAAATATGATTAAAAACAAACATACTATCTGCCTTTCCACACGAAGATAATCTTGTAGAAAATATTTGAACAAGTTGCTGATTTATAAGCCAAGTATACCTAACTTCCATTCTCAAAGCTGTTTAATATAATAATTAAGTCAAGATATATAAACTGTATAAAATTTGTTCTATTCGTTTCTTTTACTTATTAACTAATAGTTAATAAGTAAAAGAAACGAAGTAAAAGAAAGGAATATTAACTTATAGTTAGCTAATAAATAAAATTTATTTTATTTGTTATCGACAAAATGATGACCACTTCCACCATCGTTAATATTACCATGGTTTATTAAATTTTGGCTGAAGAATAATATAATTATGTTTACGGTAGCGTAGAGTTACCTAAAGTTGTTTCATCCCAGTTTATTCCGCCGAGCGCGTAACCCATAAACCCTCCCAAGCCTGCCATTATTGTGAAGGTGCTAAGGCCTCTGGCATGGTCCTCTGTGAAAACAAAATTGTGTTTTTAATTAGTAAAATACTCAACATCCGTTAGAATAACCGCTGCTTCTTTTCATAGTGGATTCCAGACACAATAAATACAGATAAAAACTTAGAATTTACTATTAATTTAAAAATATTATATATTTTAAACGTTGAACACAAAAATTTGGCAATTCACCGTGACAAACAACCTCTAAGTTACCATCTAAAATTACGTCTCAGAAGCTCATAGTTAAATAAATCGCGTAAAAGTGAAGAAAATATTACCATCTCACCGATTATACGTATATCCTACTGATGCATACGTTATAATAAGCGTGTACCCATAATACGTTGTCGGTTAGGTATCCTGCTTGATTTGTGAGCACAGAACTATCATATTTACAATATGCCAATAAATCTAGATGCAAATTTTGCTCATAGCTCCGTTTTTCTCATTATTGGTGGAATTAATCGTTAACTGCACCGTCTCAAATGTAAAATATATAGGTATAAGATTGCTACAATTCTCACTTATTTCGTCAAAACTGTCTGTTGTTTCACAACGACTTAATATTTTAGTGTTATGGAGCCAGAAAAATGCCTTCAAAAACTTTTTAAAGAAGATTTTTAGTAAGTTTAATGAATAAAAAAGAGAGTAATACATACATAAAAAGGAGAGTACATATTGAGTTATGATAACATTCACCGAAACATGAGTTTGGGTAAACTTGATTACGGACTTTGTTTACCTGCTTCAATAAAGTAAACACATCCATCCGTGTCATGATGAGAATGAAATTAGAGTTTTGAGAAAAATTATTTTTGGTACTAAAAATCGTTATAAAACTAATAATTATCTAAATCCGCTGTCTAAACCGATGCGTTCAGATGCTTATTAATTACCACATTATATAACTCAATATGTACCATATAAAGGATGTCTCATAAGTAAAGAGACAAAACTGAGTGTTCATATCGGCCAAGAAAAAGGTTTTCAAAAAAGAAGATAACTGTTTCCATAGTAACCACCACAAATCTGTCAAATTCGCATGGTTTTGCAAATATTTGCGATGTTTTTCTAACATGAAGCGAACCGAAGAGAATCGTTTACAAAAAAAGTAATTCAGTACTATCAGACTAATGGGAAATCCGAGACAGTTCGTAATTTTTCTCAAGAAGGGGCTATAAAAACAAGTATCAAAAGGATAATTAAACGGTATGAGAATCAGGAGAGACTGATTTTAAGAAAATTCCGGGAAGGCAACGTACCATAGCAACTGATCGAAACATAGATAAGGTAAAAAAAGGTTTTTAAAGAAGCACCTCCAACTTCTGTGAGGACTGCGGCGGACAAATTGAAAATATCTAAGTCAAGCATAACCAGAATTAAAGTTGAAGATCTGGGCATGAAGGATTTTGTTAAATTGTCCTCTCCAAATAAGTGAAAGACCAAGAAGTGCGTGCTAAGCGCGGTTGCCGTCGAGTTTACAAAAATCTAAAAAAAATTCTCATAATTGATGATGAAACTTATGTTGACCCCTCTGATATTCCTGGGAAGCAATATTTCCACGCTACCAACCGTGGTGAGGTATGGACGAGGACTACAGCGAAAAAGTTAAAACAAAGAAGTATCTGGTTTGTATATGATCTATGAACTTGAGCTAGCTTATCCATTAACGTACATTTTTAATAAATTCCTTTCTACTGCCGTATTCCCATCAATATGGAAAACTGGCAAGATTGTTCCAATTTACAAGTCGGCATCTGAAGATAATATTATTAATTACAGACCGATTTGTATTCATTCCACCTTTTCAAAGATATTCGAATCTTTAATATGCCCTCATTTACAGAATCACTTGAAATTGTATTAAGTGATCCTCAACATGGATTTAATTTTAGAAGTCAAGATCTACAAATACAAATTTAGTCCACTTTACTGAAGTGGTAACCCAAGCAATTGACTCAGGATATCAGGCTGATGTAATATACACAGATTTTAGTAAGGCATTCGACAAAGTTTCTCATCAACTTTTGGTTTCCAAACTCCGCCCTTATGGACTGTCAAGTTCTTTTGAAAAATCGGCGTCGTATTTGGAATGTAGGCCATTTTTCTTCGTTGTTAATGGTTACAAATCTAGAGTACAACCTATCACCTCAGGGTCCCGCAGGGCTCGCATTTGGGTCCAATACTTTTCAACATATTCATTAATGACATCTCAGAATGTTTCTCTCACTCTAAAGTTTTCATGTTTGCCGATGATTTGAAATTCTTAAAAATAATGAAGGTAGATCTGCACACTTCACTATTACAGGGCGATTTGGATAAACTCCTTAAATGGTGCAAAGTTAACAAAATGGATTTAAAAACCCTGAAAAGTGTCTTCATATAAAATTTTCTTGAAAACGAAAAATTATAAACTTCGAGTATCATATTAATACATATAATGACACGGTACGGGATCTTGGAATGATCTTCGATATAAAGTTAACATTTGGCCCCCATTTAGACAACATCATCAAAAAATCATCAAAGGTATTAGAATTTATTATAAGAAACTGTCAATATTTTAAGGACTACAAAACAAAAGTTTGATTATATAATCAATCTAGTCCGAAGTATATTGAAATACTGCAGTATTGTCTGGCGACCTCACTACGCTACACATTCACTACTCATAGAGAGTGCAAAAGCGATTTATGTGGCACCTGTCTTTCTCCGTAGGAAAATCGAAAACTGTACAGTCATTCTCAACAGACTTCAATATTTAAAAATGAACTCACTGTTAAGTAGAAGAATGATGCGTAGTTTGTAAGCAAAATCTTAAAAAACAAAATCGATAGTCCTCAACTGCTAAAATTTCTTAATTTCCGTGTTCCTTCATGAATTCCTCGCAAAACCATCACAACGCTTTGTCCTCCATTACGAAGAACACTTTTAGGTCGTAACTCTCCTTTTGCTAATTTTTGTAAAATTATCAACGACTACAGTGATCGCATTGATTTTCAATAAGACTCTTTTGAAAAAATAAAAAAATTATATATAGCTCTTTATCGAGTTAGTCAATAACAATATTAATCAGTTATCGTCAAAAAATTTATGTTGATTACCCGTGCACAGTCTACTATTAAATTTAGTTTAGTTGTTTAATTTATTTTTGATTTAATTTTATATTTTTTATCTGTACATGTGGTGTTTATCTTTAAGTAATTGTTACACTAATATATGTTTAATCTTAAGTTATTTATTGTAAGCTTTAAGAAGTATCCAGTGTAAACAATTGTTGATAAACCTCTTTAAATAAAATAATAAAAAAGACGTTGTATTCTGGCCGGATATGGCTTCGTGTCATTACGAGTCTGAAGTCATTCAATATTTGCAATCTATGGGCGTCGAATTCATATCGAAACAAAACAATGTTCCAAATGTTCCTCAAGCTCGAGGTATCGAAATATTTTGGGCTCTGTGTAATATGGAAAACAAAAAGTATTCAGAAAAATCAAAAACGTTGACAACTTTCAAACAAAGATGGGCTAGATTGGCCAAACGCGTGGCAACAACTCCTAGAAAAGCACATGAGACGTGCAAGCATTAATTTGAGAAAAATCGGCTATAAAGGCATCGCAGGAGCAAATTTGATATAGATTATATTTTTATTATTATGCATAATTTATAATGACAGATAACATACAATCTTTTATGAAAAAAAAAATTAATTGCCTTGACTCTTTACTTCTGGCATACCCCAGTATGTATTTTATAAACCCATAATACGCTGCAAAAACATGAACACTGATAAATTGAAAAGAAGAACATCGATGGTTTAAATATTTGTAGTAGGATGCTCCGAATTTCATAAACTGAGCCGCGGAGTAATCATTTTATCATCAGCGTCTATCGATGTTAGACTTGTGGTCAAGTTCCTTAGACAAGTCTTATGGCAGCGGAATGTCTCTATAGAGATCCTAGTGGTAAAGGCAAGTGAAGTGGCAACAGATGACGCGGAAGATCATGTATAGCTATATGTCTGGATGAAGTCTAAGGTTGGGGACCCTATATATGAATGCACCAAAATGTCTATGAGCCATCGCAAGGTGAACGTCCTCTTCGATAGCATCGCGTGACGAACGGTCTTTTAAATTCTTACGTTCTGGAACTTCCATAAAAAACCTAATAGACTACAGGTTTTTCATTGGACGATAGAAACATTTTTTACACTGATCCAAAAGTCCTGATTGTTAGAATGTGATAAAATAAATCTAATCCTGCGTCCGACTAGTTTATACATAGTCTTTAAATATGAAAGCAAAACCATCATCCAAACAATGATCAAAGCTCAACTGGTCCTTATCCATTTTGTTTAGTGAACATCCAGGATCACACTACCGACCACTCTTTATTTCAGATATCAATCATCAATCATGTATATATATATATATATCAATCATGTATATTATATTCCGGATACCATATTATACCAGACGATTGCGAGATCCTAACACTTACGCACTCAGATCACCAGGTTAAACGTATTGTGTGCCACGCGAACCCACTGCAGATTAGCAGACTTCATATATCATTCAAATTTTTTCGCTTTTTTTTCGTAAATAAACAACTATGATGTTTTCTCCGTTAAAATTGATTGGTGATTTCTTTCAGTTGGCACCGGGATTCGTACTTAGGTAGCTTGAGTATAATATACGCGCGAGCGACTGGACTAAGCTATCACGGCTCTTAATTTCTACTCTTTCTCAAGAAATGAAAATAAATTGCAGCTGTAAGATAGTTTTTCATATTCATAATAAACAAGCAGCCTCAATTCAATTTTTCATTCCGCAGCCGCATTCCCTTCAATTTTATAGCACTCGTAGAATCGGAACTAATGACTTACTATACGAGATAGCAAGAAAGACGACCGTAAATAATGCAACATATATTTTTTTCATACTAATATATTAAAAACAGAGTTTTATTAATATTATTCCTTTCCATTTATAAATAAATAAATTAATTATATAATAGCTCTCCATTATTCAAACTATTTGTAGTCAATATTCAGCAAGCTAGGATATTTACTTCTTTTGGTTCACACAAGATTTAGATTACTCTGGCCTAAACATACCGTGTATAAACTCAGGATAAATTCTTTCGCAAACACCTAGCCGCTATTTTCAAAAACATTTAAAATTTAAACAAATAATTTTAAATCATTAGAAATAAAAAAATATTTTTCTAATTCAGAGACAATTAGGTTGAAACATGACTTTATTAATATTGAACTGATAGTTATTAAACGAGACCTACAGAAATATGAGTATGTATATATGACAGTTATACATCTCTGAACAACATACATAAATAAAATGTTAACAAATTGCCATGAAATATATATCAGAAACAATTTAATACAATCTTACGCTCAAGTGGGGAAAACACAAAAACGAAATCTCGACTGATAAATCAATCATGGCCGCAAAACTGATAACAAATTTGTCTTCACCGACCAAAAAAGTTAACGCACAGTCACATGTCTTGACGTTCAAACAAGAGCAAATGTTTAATTGTATTAGCTTACATCTATCAAACTGGGTTAAGGATGTGCTACTGGTGGTACGCAAATATTTCCGGCGTAAAACTTCTAGATAACAGTATTTTTCTAAGAAATCTTTCTGCATTAAACTATTGTAATACTACGATATTGTAAATATTTTATCTGAACGACAGATCTTTATAGTGATTAAATATTTACAGTAAAATACATTGTAACTACTATATCATCTTGTTATAAAATTTTGTACTGAGTTTTGCATGAATCATTAATCTGTTTTAAATTGCGTAAAATAATTTATAGAGAATAGGAAGTTCTTTGATGATTAGGTTGCCTATGAATTTGCTTCAGACATCAATAACCTTATAAATACCTCGTCATTTACTTTGTGTAAGTATTAAATTTAACATTTTCAAGAATTTTGTATTTTTAAACCTGCATTTAAACTTCATGTACTTATATATTTTATATAAATTTGCGATATTTAAAGTGAAAATTGAATTAAAAAGTAATCTGATTTAAAAATGCATGTTCAAATTTTGTTATTCGTCCAGCCTGATGATGACAAAATGAAGCGGTCATATTATTTTTCTTTTCCACCGTTAACTTATTTTTATAATAATAAAAAGCTAATGCAAATAACAGCTTATATAAGTCCCACTGCTGGGAACAGTCCTTCTCTTTACGTAGTCCTCCTCAAGATCTATGATGTTTTCCTTCACCGCCGACCACGACATAAGTCAGCATTCATAGGAGATCCAGAAGATCCAAGAGATACGAGATCATAAGAAAGCGGGTAACCTCACTCTCCAAACGAAACGCAATACGTAGGTCACATTAAAAGTTTCCGGCCACTTACATAAACAATATTTAAAAAGTAAGTATAACAATTGACTAAATTGTCAGGCCGCGAATGCCGAAGACGTGGATTCGATTCCCACAGCAGCAACAATCTTTTTTGCCTACAAATTGTAATGAGACCCACGACTTTTTCAAGGTAGAACTTATGAGCCATCCTGCATAAATTCCCGACCTGGCACTTTTTCTGTTCCCAAAATATTTTTCCTTATCCATTCCGGAAACTTTTAGTGCGCCCCACGTAATACAAATACTCGTATTTTTGAATTATGATTACTTTAACATAAACTCCGTTCAGTTAAAGGCAATGATCGTTAAACACTACGATAACGTAGACACCGATTTCATATTAATAATGTTGTTTAAACATTTAAGCTAATCTATAAATAGATAATGTATGAAGTTTGCTTTGCGCAAGTGATGATTGTATTTCATGGAATAAGTTTGCCATGCTCAAATAATTACTGTGTTTCATTTATGATGAAATACATAGATGTCTCATCCGCTTCTGATCGTCTATCCCAGTATTTTTCAATTTATTTGGAACATATATGCTGTTCAATAATTCAAAATTTTACCACGCTCATAGCGGTGAAAGTAAACTCCGAGGAAGCTGCATATTTTACAATCCATTAAAAATGTTTCGACGATATTTAATATCCACCATAGGTTGCGTTGCGAGAGATGTTATAATGCTTTCTGTTAAAGACTTCCGTTGCACAGCAGTGAGACATATGTGCATAGGCTGTTACTTTACTATGCTTTTTCATTAAATTCATTGATTGAAGATAGATTGGTAATTTTGATTTAGAAACATATTTAAACGTGCAACATTTAAGTGACTTCAAGAAAAGGGGAATAATTAAGAAAAAATTAAAATTGTAAAATTAATTTTTGTGTCGGATTTCAATTACTTTTTTTATTAATTTCAATCCGAATAAATGACCTATCAAACTATTTGTCATGAAATTTTACACTGTCAAGCCACATTTTATTGCTGCAATTAGGTTGCATTATCGGTATCAGGCTAGAAGTTTTGTATTTGTAATAATATTAGCGAACTGTTTGAAATAAAGTATGGACTTAACTTTTTCTTACAGTCAAGGATTTCTTTTAAAGGTAGAAAGATGTGTATGTAATCTACTCTAATGTTATCAAACACCACGTAATGTGCCTAGCACATTTGGTTTGCCCGCGTGAAATGTTCTTTTTTTGTTTCATAAATCTTATTGCCATCCATAGCTTGAGAGCTAATGTTAGGTTTAATTATTGATTTACATTTTTTTCAGCTAAATCCCATTAATAAGGGCCCTAAGATTAATGACCTTAATCGTGTGTTAACTTAATTATAGTATAGTGTACGGTTAAAACACAATCGGGGCGAGGAAATTTTAAATATCTGGAGTGGATAGAATACGTGCTCATTAAGGTTCTAAAACGAGACACAACACAAACGAAATGTATGCAATTGGCGCACCAAAACTAAGAACGAGGTAAACATCACTGACCTGGAACTGTCACGTCAAGGAGATAAGCCCTCGCGGGGCTCTGGCACGCATCGGCGTCAAAGTCCAAGAACACCGTGCCAAGGACCGTGAAGAACACTCCCCACGGATGGTGGCTGGTGCCAGCCGTGTCCAGAGCCGAGCTCCTGGGCCCCAGAACGGCCGGCACCTCTGTCCTGTTATCAGTGCCGAGGTCTCCCATCGCATAGCCTATCGCCTCCCCGTTCGGTACAAGGATCAACCCTGCAATTTTAGTGTTGTAAGAACTCTACACTTCATTTATTCATAGATTTATAGTTACCCTTAGGCTTTATTTTAGTTTTGTTTGAGAAGAAAATATGTAGAAACTTTGTCAATTGAAAGTGCTATTAAAAAAAAATTATGTGATTTTTTTTAACTTTGGGCACATATCACATTCCACAGATAAAAAAACAAAAGGAAAATATTTCAACTTCACACTTATGGCTTCGTGCAAACCATTGCGTAGCCCTACTACAGTTTAATAGTTGAGAAATGTTTTAGGCATAATTTTTTGATGCTTTAAATATTCATTAACTTTTTTACTCATAACATACATAATATGATGTATTATTTTATGGTCCATATTATGGTATCATTTCTTTTAAAGAGCAACACGAGTAGTATTACAAATAATACTATATTTTTATCATTTAGAAATTTGTTACCCCATCTCTTATTAAACTTAAAATAAAAATATAATTTGACAACACTTACCTAAAAATACACCTATGGACATGAGGACAATGAACGGTCTTCTTCGACCAAATCTCGAATTGCATCTATCGCTGAGTGAGCCAAGGAGTGGTGTCATGAAGAATCCGATTAGAGGTGACAAAGCCCAAACGAGGGTCATTTGCTGATGTGGCACCCCTATTTGCAACAACGTGGGAGACACGAAAGCTGTTTCTCCAGCGTATGAGAACTCTATGCCCATGACAGCAGCAGATATCCTCATCAACTCCAACCGACTTTTCCGCCTAGGTTATACATAACAATATTTGGTGAAAGAATTTTATTTCAAGTAATTTTTGATTTACGTTCTTGTTTTGTTTTATTTACAAATTCAAATTTAAAAACCCAGTACCTTTTGCTGTAAATTTTAAATAAAGTATACGCTTGTCATTTGCACTTTCGAAAATTAAAATATATAATATAATTCATTACCATTATTCCAGCAAACAATAGATATTGTTAAAAAGTCCATATAAATAATACAAACCTGAACAAATCACTATATTCACCGGCTTCGCCATCTTGCCCGACCCTCTCTGGTGCATCATCTGACGATGGAATACCGAAAAAGGTTTCCCGAACAACTTCCCGGATTCCTCTTGGATGCTCCTCTCTCCATAGCGCCAAGCGTTCCCGGTACCGTTCCTTGGCACAGTGCAGTCTTCCCGTCACCCCCTGGTACTCATTAAGCTTCTCCGCCATGATTAAAACGTTAAAAAAACAAACTTATCGTGCGACCAATAATCAGACCACCATCATTATCATCATCGCATTGAAAACTTTGAAACGGTCGAAGGGATTCGAAGAGACTTAATGCAAAATCGTGAATTGATTTTAACCGGACCGGGACATGTTCTGACGGGAAAACTTCGGCAACATTTAACGACTGAAGTTGTCAGCTGTGGAGTGCAGGCCAGTGTGAGACCGCGAGTACGGGCGACGGAAGTAGACTGGGTCGCGCGCGCCGCCCTCGGCTGAAAACGCCGCCCGCCCTGCGCGGAAGTATCATTGACGGTTAATAAAACTGGAAGCGACTGGCGTTTCTTCATTTCAGCGTGAAAAGTTATAAAACCAATCTTGAAGCATTGTCAACTTGCTGTAATTTATAAATAATGTTAAATTCAACACGGTTAGTTCTTGAATATAAAATAATTTATAACTTCGAATTGTTGTTTATGTTAACGCGAATTGTTTGTTGTTTATATTAAATTTGCACACATTAAAATGTAACCATACTTACGGATTCTGTTCGTAAAGTTATAGTGTTGAACTCGTCAGGAACTTAAAATTACAAGCTATTAAATCCACAAATATGACCATATTACGTATCCATCAAAAATGAACATTTCAAGAATCTGCCCTTCCTTGATCATTTTTAACACCATTAACACAATACTGATAAAATTATATGTAGTTGTATTACAAAAGAAAAAATATCCGTCGTAAAACGCCTGTATTATGATAAAGGACTTGGTGATTATGGAAATGAGCCTAACAAACAGCATTTCTTGACGTCATCGCATGACAATTCAATCCTGTAACTGTTACTCAAAGCTTGTTAATAAAGACCTAATGGAATTTTTATATTATTAATTGGCGTTTTGAGTGATATAATAAAGTTATATTTATAAGGGCATATCAACCTACTATATCATATTTCATATAAATGTACACCCTAACAAAATAATACATTCTCACAGTAGTAATGTATAAGCGATCATACGTTCTATGGTAAAGCGGCATAAGACTACGACTATCCTCTGAATATCACACTTTATATCTATTAAACGTATAAAAATATATTATGTGTTAGACAAATACTGAATATTTTGTACATAACAATTTCATGTGAGAATATTTTCTTGTGTCATATCTTTAGAGAGCCATTTTCAGTAGTCTGGTTTTAGTTTTTGGGCTTAATTTTTTACATATAATAGCAAAATACAGAGACTAAGAACGCGTACGAAAATGCGATAGGGTTTAATAAAAAATACTAAAAAATTCCATTAATATTTGAAAATACAACAATTACTACAAATAAATTATTATTTGTAATTATTGTATTTTTTGAAGAAATTCCTTTTTTAAACGGTTTTATTTAGCTCGACACATACGGAATTTATTTGTTTATTTGGGTCAAAATTAGAAATTGAAATTTAAGCACCTTTCCGTTGTCAGATTGATCTGAAATTTGGTACACACATTTAATTTAGATGACAATACAATATTGTAGTATTCAGTGCACAAAAAAAAACATAAAATAAAACCGTTTAACTTAAAAGTTTTTAAACGGTTTTATTAACTTATTTAGAACTAGTCCCAAGAATGAAATTAGTATGACATTTTGGTTATGTATGATCTATTAATTTTCTCAAAATGTATTTGTTCCATTTCAAATTTTATCACTTCTGGTTCACAACGTCTATGTAAGCGCCTGAGGAGTGAAGCTTATTGCACCCCAGGGGATCGCCAACTGATTCCTTCCTCCAATACGGCTCTCAATAAACAGAGAAATTGTTAGCTCGACTTATTGCTTTCTTTCTCAGACAATTTGCGACGAAATGTAAGCCTACATAGATTGGATTCGACAAACGGTTCAGTTCGGAACAGTTTGCGACGATCTTTATGGTGTTTTATCGCGTTTATTTCCATTTACACCATCGTTGATGTTGTTCTTAAATTTATGGATTTCGTTGATTTGTCGCATTCAAAGTTCACTGCAAGTAAATAACTTACATACTCTTTGTTTGTTGTATTTTGTATTGATTTTTTTTGTTTTCACGCAAATATTATATACATTGTGATATGAGTCTATTTTACGGATTTTATAATTTCATTTCACAATGTTGTATTTTGATTACTTAGATATCTTTATATATATAATCTTTACGTGTGTATGTCACCGAAGTCCTCCTCAACGGCTGAGCCGTAATCAAGAAATTTATGTGACTTCAGGTCGATTCAAGAATGGTTTAGATTAACAATTCGGTACACTACATTTTTTTAATTTATTAGTTGTTGTCGGATTTAAATCATGTGTACAAGACAACGTCTGTTGGGTCCGCTAGTTAAGTATAAATTTTTAGTAAACATTAAATAAAATAATTGCGTACATAAACGTGGATCGTAAACTTTTTACTGATCGCGTTGTGTTACAAAGATTAACTAATTACCGATGATTTTAATTTTCGAAAATTGCATGTGACGCTTGTGAAACCATTTTGGAATGAAACATTGATCGTAGTCACAACTGCTAATTTATATTTTTATAAATAAAACTGCCTTGTATTTTTTGTTCGTATTTTTTTAAATACCAATGAAATGCAATAATTTTGAATACATTGCGATAAAATCTCTGAATTGATAAAAAAAATACAAAAATGAATGTATACGCTAAACATGTTCATCATGATCATCATTACAGCCTATAAGCGTCCAGTGCTGAACATAGGCCTCCTCTAGGGAACCACTTCAATCGGTTTGAAGTGCCCTGCATCCAGCGAAATCCCACGACTTTGGTCAGGTCGTCAGGCAAAACATGTTAGTCACTATTATATTACCATTTTACTACTTAAGAAAAAAAATCTAATATCAAATCCCTAAAAAGAGCCGTGATAGCTAAGTGTCCGGGCGCTCGCCTTTAATTCAGTATATACTCGAGCAACCTGAGTTCGATCCCCGGTGCCGGCATCAATGAAGTTTTTAACTTTAAGTGCTGACTTATCACGTGCTCCGCGGTGAAGGAAAACATCGTGAGGAAACCTGCATATTTTCGAAATAATAACAAAAAAAAATGTATTTCGAAGATATGTGAAGTCCGCCAATCCGCAGTGGGCCCGCGTGGTGGACTATGCCCTGATACCCTATGTATAGAGGAGGCCTTTACCCAGCAGTGAGACATGTATAGGCTGTTACTATACTACTATCAAATCCCTCAATCCGAGTGCACAGATTAATCTTATCTGTAAAATTTTGTTTTTGATATAGGCTGTATTGTGCGTCATCTCGCTTTTTTCGTCCTTTTTTCCAGCCGTATTATATTTATCTTTAAATAGCGTCGGAACTTGTATAAATGTTACTCATAAAACAAATATTATAAAATAACTATATTGTTTGTTATCTTAATTCTATTCTTTAAAATATGTTATTGCTTATGTTTAACTTCTATGAAGTCTTTAGTAATCATGTGGGTTTCTAATATTTATAGCATTGTTTCTCATTGCTGAAACCTCGAAACTGAAATCTCTACTCCCATATCAGCCTTCTTCGCGTCATTAGTGCAAAATTTATATACATCACTATTTACCGGCAGCTACGAATGCTTGCATTTCACTATTTACATAGAAATCACCTATTTAAATGAGATTAACATAGCTTTGTTTAATTAAACATGGCATTACGCGCAGTAGAAACAAGGCTGCCTCCCGCACGATCCTTTTACCAACCCTTCACAGCTACAAAAGAAAGCAACAACGTATCGCATCCTCTGTGTCACACGACCGATTTAAATATCTTTGTGAATGTACAAACCTATGGTAATGAAATAATACATGTTACGATGTAGGAAACCACGCAAAAGGCTACTGATTTATTGTTGCACATATAATCTGCTTCACGGACTGTAAAGATTTCAAATGTAAATAATATCTGTTCATTTGTTTCAATCTCACGCTTGTTGAACAATTAGGCGGTCGAACAAATTCGGGGATGTTGATTAAAATGTTACTTGAGTGACCGTAGTTTTAAAAGACATTACAAAATGAAAACATTAATTAACTGCTAAGGAACATTAGCATTTTATTCGTAGTAATCAGGAGTTTTATAAGCAAATAAAACGTCAAATAGTGTTTTAAGCATATGCATCTTCAACGTACATAATTTATTTAATAAAGCTTTAATCCTGACTGACGGACAAATAAAAGCAAGAAACAGCAGTTGTGAGTGTATAAAATTTTGCACATGAGTTTCTTATTAAAAAAGAATGACAACTAAGCAATGTTTTTATTTAAATTCATCCTTGAAATCTAAGGGACTCTTAAAGGACTCTTCATGCAGCCTCAAAATACCACATGATTTAGTGAAATTTTCCAGTGTCATCTTGTATTAATTATGTTCAGTCTTGTTGGGGCATATTTATTAAAAGATATTGTATTATATTAAAAACTTTATAATATCAATTTCTTTGGACCTGTATTGATCAGAACACATTACAATTTACATTAGATCGATACATTGATTTAAAATGTATAATTACGCAAATACTGCACATTTTTTAATCTGAAATTTATCATTTAAAAAAATGAATTTTGATATATATTTTTTGCGGTGCATTCCATTAAAATTTAAATTTTAAAATGAAACAATTTTCATTTTAAAATGAAAATTGTTGCATTGTATAGAAAAAATTGAAGGTCACGTTCATTACCAACGTATCCTCATACGAATTATTCCATTGCTAGTCCAAGTTGGCCTTGTCGATCAATCACCTGGCGACAGGTGACAAGTTATTAAAAAAACAAACTGATACCGTTACGTCAAAAAGAATGGAGCGACTTCAGAGTTCTCGAACCTAAAATTAACCCATTAAATCGTACGGTTTTAATTTTTTCCATTTAGACAGAATTCCATTTTATCTCTTATACAAACCTTTAGATAGGCAGATTTAAATATAAGCTTTATAAATTCTAAGCGCGTTTCACATCCAATAACAACCATTATAAATTTAAAGATATTATCAAAATCTGGGAATATGTAGTCATAGGCACTGTAGTCATATTTACAACTGGTGATGGTTATTAGTATTGGGTAGACAGATACCTCTCATAACGCTACGCTGCTGAATGCTATGTAGATTATGGGCTTTTTAATCTACGAGAAGTTATTTGCCACAGTAATTAATGGAAGATTCGACTTCTCCTTGTCATTTTAAATATGAATTTTTAGAATATCAAAAATTATTTTTTTTATAAACCGATTCATTAATTGATAAAACTATTTAAATCTAAGTTACTAGTTACCTATCTAATAAACCACAAGACATGGGGCTAAGAACGCTAGGTGCATTCCTCGTCGAATAGATATGCAAATTCCTTTCAGATTAAAATTCAAAATTATATAAAATGCCTAAGTAAGAAATGAGGATTAAAAACATTAGTTTCTTCGACGTACTAGTTTTGAACAAATAAGTTCTAAAGCCTACATTTAGAACAATGAGACATATTTACAACTAGACTTATCAATGATAAAACTTCCTGCTTTGCATATAAATCATCAGTCATGGACAAATCATGTTCAGATAGTGAAATCTCTTCGATTTATATCTTAAATCTCGCTCTTATCTGTTTCATGACATTTGTTACATTGAAAAGCCTAAAAAAAGGTTACTGCATGAATTCAAACACCAATCCGTATTTCGAGTAATTTGAATGAAAGTGTTTCCTAAGAATAATCGAATACCTGGGTCATATATAGTATTTCGTTATAGATAGCTTCTGTATGAAAAGTTAATGGGATTGTTAATTTTTATGGCTTCATCAGACGTGGCTAAACGCGGCTTTGTACGTTCAATACTTCGATAAATTCTAACCTCTCATATATTACATGCAAAATATATAACTAGCAATATTTTTATACCTTAAGAAAAGTCGAGTTCGAATTAAATATTACTTGTTTTTCAAAATGAAGATAAGAAAATACTGTAATATAACCATTTCTGTTTTAGTTTGATAAAACTTTTATAAATACTTTACTGTCTTATAAATCGTTATTTATAGGAAACATGTTACGGTTAAATGGTAACACAACTAATACCGTTAGGAAATAAATCTTAACAAATAGAATTTCAAAAAGAAGAACAGTTAAACCCCTAAGTAGCATTTTATTTTATGTCAATACGTCTAGAAATTGGATCGACGGAAAAGATGATTCTTGCACTTTGAAATTTACTGTAATGTTTAAACGGTAGTTGTTCAAAATGCAATCGATGGATCGACACATATACGTGATCATTATAGTCTATTGTTGAACATAGCCTCACCCAAGGAACGCCACATTCCCCTTTTCGGCTTATAGCATCCATTTGCCATCAACACCTGTCCATACCATCGCTTGGCCTGACCAGATGGAGTAGCATTGTTGTAATTTGCTTATTTATCTATATTTATAGCTAAACACGTATACATAAACATTGTATAGATTGGGTTGGTCATTAAGATGTTCCAATTAAATATGTTTGTCACACATTGGATTTAAATTAAGTACCTCTTGTAAGTTAAGTATTTACTCTTACATCTATATGAAATAAATCACTTGTGTGTCCGCCATAGGAAAGAGGTTTAACTTCATATATTTCCGCAAGAGGAAAGAGGTTAAACTTCATATATCCTGTTTACTGTTAATATATTATGTTTTTGTGATTCTCATCTGCCTCTCTTCGTTGATACAAAAGATAATTACTGTCTTAATTATGTTTTCCCTATATTCATTCCTCGAAATATTTTTCGATCATTCCGCAATCATACGTGACTTTAAATAACGTATCTTCCTACCTCAGGTATGGACTATGTTTTAATCCTGGAAAGTAGAACTTAGTTATTAAATTAACTTGATAACTGCTCAATTGCATGAATGTATACGCAGAGTACGCATGCAGCCTATAAACCGAGAAGGTGACCAGTACAACAACTTTTAATAGTGTCAATAATATGAAAAAAACATTCGTGAAACAACAACAAAGTTCTTTTCTCACAACAAGATTGAAGAATAGGAAGACATTTACATCCGCAAATACAGGACAAGATTCAGGGCGCGTAAGTACTGGGGGTTTCAAATCAAATCTAGACACAACCGTGGTATTAAAGAATTTTAAAGTAAAATCCAGTCTTACAATTTTTAAATTTGCATTACCACCACACCAATAAAGTATTTGATCGACATGACGCAGATATTTCTGTTTCGTAACGTGCAAGGAGGTCGAGGTCCTAGCGACGGGTTTGTTTCCTTTAAATAATTTTTATTATTCCCAACGCAGACGCGGCTGACCCTCCGGTTTATTACGTGGCTTGGATATTACCTAATTTCTTCACACCTACCGCTAAGCACCGTAGAGATCACAGAAATACTGGCACTAAATTAGAAACATTCTTCTAATGTATAAAAAAAAATACATTAAAATTTTCATTTTGACGATTAACAAATTGTCGATGAATCTTCTGCTTAGAATAATAAAATTAAGCCATATGATGAGTCTGATGCATTTTTGTTAGTGTATAGAATTATATAAAGACGCACATAAGCTACAATTGTATTTTGTTTTTAAGAATAAATGATGCCCGCAGGTAAAAAGCTTATAAAATTCAAAAATGTTTCATGGTAACTCTTTAAATGGATTTATTGCAGTTTTGCTCAGTTTGAGGACATTGATTAGTTATTCCATCGAATGTCGAAATCGTACCATAAGGACGCAGGTACAAATGTTTTGCATACAAATAAATGTCGTTAATCTAATGGGGCAATAAACAATATTCCTCACAATGTAAACATTTTAACTTCTTATAAAATCTGATTTCAATAAACACCAAACCTAAGAAAAATATGTTTTTAGTTTTACAAATGTTATTACCGTAAAATGTTTACCAAAGATATACCTACCACGCATTGTTTTATTTTAAAAAAATACAATTAAAATATAAATATAACGTATAATAAATATAAGACATTAATTTATAAATTAAGTCAATACTCAATATTTTATTATTTGATATGGCCTAAAATGTGAAAAAAAAAAATTATAAAGACCAAATACTTAACTACATCAAGCAAACGTCCCATTTGATTTTATGAGTAAGACGCCCTTAGTCTTAAAGAGGTAAAAGAAAACGGCCTACAATTGATGAAAACTAATGTAGTAATATCTAACCGACATATACTATATATATGGCGAAACATAGCACAAATACTAATGCCAACAAAATCTATAACTTTAAGTTGAAAATCTGTATTTTTATCTATGGAGGCTGCTAATGTCCGTAAACAATGTTGACATATAAAAAAAAAGATTTTACTTACGTGCTTTTGCACGTCCGTATCCGTTTCAATTGTTGTTGTTAGACGCAACCCTACCGCATGCCTCTACAAGGCACGCAGTCGCACTTGACCGCGCAACGCGAAGCCTTGCGCGGCCCTGAGCCATGTCGTGGTACATGTTTTTGATGATGCGACTGCAAAGACGTGAATTAGTCTAGATTTAAATATAACACAATATCTAGAAATTTCTACTAGCAATTTCCGTAAGAACATTCTGGCTGATATTTGACAGAAAATTAAAAACCACTCCCATTTAAAATTAGAATCAGTGTATTCCAAAATGAAAGAAATTCTTTTTGCTTATTTCAGATTGAAATTTAAGAATCTTATAATTTTTATAAGTCAAATATTATATAAATATATATATATAAATCTTTTAATTCTTTATAAGTCAAATATATATACACGGCGTATATATGTCTTAACTAATCAATATACGAAAAGGGAATTAGAGATTTACGTTCGCAGCTTCCTTGTTATTATTTATGATGTACCGGAGGCGGAACAAATCGCCTTACCGAGCATCTCATTAGCCGATGTCCCGCGGTTGTTTCTTCCCAATGGGATTCTAAAATAAAATGACGCTGAAAAATTATTTTCTTATTTACGGGTATTTCTTTTCATGCGTTTGAAAATATAATATTTTCGTACACAGTTCGCTATTATATTTTAGTGAGCGATATACACCAATACACATTTAGGTTAAATAATCCTTTTCAATATTTATGACTTGGTCGTATCATATTTTATGTTTGTTACCTCAGAACTCCGTAATTGATAAACCAATTTAAACTGTTGTCTAACTATGGTACTAAATTCGACTGTATTTTTTTAGTTTGTTACTGATCTGAACCGATTTTGATGATTCTTTTTTTATTTGAAAGCTGGCGATTCCCATGTGGTTCTATATTAATTTCATCTGTATTTTGATAAGCTCTTTCTAATTGAACTATCTTTAAGTAGTCGGATGTTACGACGTTTCCAATTGAAACAAAATATGTCTGAATTAAAACTGTGTACGCGAATGATTACTGTTAAGTGCACAAGAGCCAAGTTGACTGGCAACTTCCGAGTTACGCACGCTGCAAAAACTTAACACATCGACTAATATGGTCGACAAGAAGTGATTATGCTATGAAATATCGTCAATTGCCTCTTATACCGTAGAAAAAACACGCCGCAGCATTTGCTGTCTCTTTAATATAAGGCTCGGCCGGGAAAGTACCACGGCCTCTAAGAAGACTGACTGAAAGTAGAGGCGTTTTTACATTGGCACTTCTTCCAGCGGATGAAGTAACTAGGTTCTACCCTCTTTGTCGACAATAAACCAACACGCGAATTGTGGATGTCCATTTTTAATGATGCTGACTTACCACTTACAATAGACCCTTCAATAATATGTTAATATTACTAAATTAAACTATTTTACAGATCGAGTCCTTTTTTTATTCATTTTAATTCTCGACATTTCTAATGCTTTTCACCATTCATGGTCACGGGACAGACTGAGGCGATAGACGTCCGAATAACAATTTTAACCCGGGCTACCAGCAGTTTTGTATCTGATCTACACAGAAGGTAGTAATTAAACCTCGTCTAGCATGTATGATGGTAGTCGAGCTGATGGTAGTTTTTGAATTCAATAACCTCGCGAATCGTCCTTGGAAGGAATCGGTGCTCTTTTGGAAGTATCTGTGGTCTATGAAACTTGATTAGGTGAATGTGGCCGATGTTAAAATGTGCTCACAGACTGCAGACATGTTTTAGCTGGCATAAAACATAAAATCTAGGCTATAAGAGTCAATTAACACCTTTTGTGTAAATCGGGCACAAAGTTTATAATTTAGAAACTGACTGCAAGTTTCTCAGTCCGGGTTAACGATGAATGAAAAATACTGCAAAGCATTCGGAACGTCGGCAATTAAAATTAAATATAAATCCGATAAATCTGTAAAATTAGTTTCATTTTGTAATGTACACTATTCGCGTAAATATAAGAATTTATCATCTGTTAATATTGTTATTAAAAAAAAATCACATCATAATAAAATGGCGGATATTGCCCAGTAGTTGTAATTTAAGTAAATATGAAACAACACCATCGCATTTACCGGTGCACCGTGCATGCGATTCCCTGTAATCAGGATATTTATTGTATTACTATAATTCCGAATTATTTACTCAGTTACAAAACATAATCAATAAATAACATGTAAAAACGTAAGACCGACTGGGCGACTTAAACCACACGCGTGTAACGGTAAACTCGGTCCATCCTAAAACAATTAAGCCGTCTATCGTTACTGTAATAAGTTGCCGATCAATTAATAAGCAAACACGAGCACTGCGCGTACGCGTCAGACTTACATAACGACCAGAGGGCAGGCAGGGGCGGGATACAGAAGCGGCCTACAACGAAACCTAGCGAAGATCGATCGTGTCTAGATAAGGCGAGATGAGCGATCACGTCGCGTTATCGTTATCTGGCATGGAAGGAATCCTCGTCGTGAGGTAGCGGGCGGCATTCGCACAGAAGCCTCTGTAGGCAGCACGCGCTATCCTTGGGGCGGGCGACTCGTGCGCCGATACGTACGCGATCTCGTCCGCGCATCTCTCCAGCGTCGCACGCAGGTGACGATGCAACTGCCGTAGCCGACGCAAACAGCCAGACCGACACCGGACTTTAAATAAACAAGTGAAAGAGTGAATTCGTTGTAGCCAAGATGGGTGAGTCCTTTTCTCTTTTAATAACACCTTGCCAGTAACATGTCGGTCGTGAAAAATAGATTCTGACGTCATTTGTACAAAAATTGGGCTAATTGGCGAATTAACTTTGTCGTCCCCTCGATGTACAATGCATTTAAATCATTACTTACACTTAGGATCTTTTCATAATCCGCTGGATTTTTTGGAGAAGAGATAAAAATGAGTTAATTTTGCACTAATACAGTAGTCAGTGAACGGATGAAATTCATTTGCTTTTAAAAATCGGAAGCCACACGGCTGTCACTCATGCCAGACGACATTTGTCCCCGGTATTATTTCAGAAACAGTCAAAGCGAGCCTCGCTGTCAAAATGGAGATAAAGCAAGCAATTGATACGAGGTAAACCGAATGTTAATGAGCGCTTGGCGTAAAATTTGGAATTTTTGCAAATTTATTTAAACTCACAACTTGTAGCCTGACGGATAAGAGTATGAATTGTAAAATTAATAAGAATTCTTTAAACTAACCACGAGCGAAGCTACTTAGCATAATTTATTTAAAATTTATAGATCATTTTCATTTATTTAAAATTATCGTATAGATTCGATGTAAAGATTTGATCATTAATAATTTGTTGATCCTTTATTTGGTGGATTAAATTGTACATAAATTCTAAGCATACTTCTTTTACAACAATAGTATTAATACTTAGATAATTTATAATAGGGATTTATTAACATTTTAGAACTATTTAAAGGTTTCTTCTTACATTTAAAAAGAAAATATAAACGCAAACTTATAACAATTTTTTTTATTATAGATAAATTGAATATATTTATAAATAACGTTTTATGATTTAATTTAAAATTCTTAACATGTATACAAACACACAAATGTAACGAACTAAATAGTGCACGAAAAATGCTAACCGCAATACATCAACAACGTGAAATTAGTACAATCGGCCATTATTTTAATGGTTATTTTTCGTTATAGTAATAACGGCACATTTTCGTTAGAACTCCGAATAATAACGATGAAATTAATTAGTTAAAATGTTTAATAGATTATTCCAGTAATTACTTTTAATAATAACTATATTATCATCGGTCAACGTGCGAATTTACAGTTTACTATTATGTATATCAGATGAATTCACGATGTTCCATTTTATAACATTATTTTTTTGATCTCTGAAGTGTTATAATTAGCGAGATCAATCAAAACCTGAACTCTATATTGACTTAATCTTTTATTAATGACTTGATTTTATTAATGGGTTTGATTACCAATATTAAGAGGTTACTGGCATGATGGAATCACCTAATAAAACAGTATAAGGCTGCAAGCACATCCTCCATATGTCATTGAAAACTCATGGTCAATGTTTTCGAAAAGAAAACGCTATAAAATATTGTCCTTTACGCAAAGATTATCAATTCCAATTCCGATTTTCTACTAGTATTTTATGCTTCCAAACATTAATAGCAATAAGTCATGTAGGTATAGTTTAATCCTTTTTAGGTTACTTTTGTTCTACTGCTTTACTTGCTTCCGGTACGCGCGCTTTTATTTCGTTATCGTATTTATTCAATATTTTTATAATAAATATCAGACGCAATAATTACTACTTATTAGGTAAAAACAGTATTTCGGTGTCCTCACAATTTCATTCGAAATATCGAAATTATATATTGAATTGAATATTATTTAGAGGTTGCGAGAATTTCGGAATTTTCTTTTAGTCATAAAGCCGTGTGTTTAGAAAAGGGTTAAATACCTATCTATTTCTTTTCCGTAGTAAAACAAGATTCATTAAAATGTTTCTTCATAAACCTACTTTCCGACCAGCCGGAAATATCTGTACCAACGTTTTCTCACGACACTGGAGCATGTAGAAGGTCTAGCATGATGATATTGTAGTTAACTGTCCCCTTATAGAAACCAGTGTGGCGGCTGCATCAAATGATACAATATGACGAGTATTAATCGCGTCAATTAAAATCGTGTCCGAGTGTTGTGCCTAATGTTTTTGCCGCAATTATTTTTATGGGTTTGTTTGCACGGAGTTCATCTGTATTTAGAGCATTAGAAATTTTTAAGGGAGGGAATGCGCGAATTTTATTACAAATTATAACTAACTAATTGAAATATGTTAAAAATTAAAAAAAAATTAAGAACGCAAAGCATATTTAAAATAATGTACTTGAATAATATAGTTGTAAATACCATAATTGAAAGTTTCAGTGTATGGGGGTTAAACAAAACTCTTTTACGGTTGAAAGTACGGGTACTAGATAACTGATAAACATAATTAAAAATACTTTTTTGTAAATAAATACATAACGTAATGCACGTGTGTACAAACATCAAGACAGTGGAATAACACTAAGTTCATCACACAATAATTTTCCTGTAGTGGGGATCGATCATCGAACCCACACCCTCCGGCGCAAAAGGCAGCTTCACTTCTCACTACGCCAATAATTGGTCGTTAATTTTATTGTCTAAAATAAAAATCATTATACGTAATACAACATAATATGTATATGTAAGCTCAGAATGAATAAAATTCACTATACGGATATATCACCCATTTCGGCGTGAGAGTATGAAATCTGGTCGTATGTAGTAGAGTAGTAGCACTAACATACTACCTACGACAAGACCAGTTTTCTGTTATTTTATGGCACTAACTTAGTACCATGGCCTCACAAAAGACCGGCGTTTATTGTTTTGTGTTTCGCCCCGTCACTAAGATCTCCCCCAATTCTCAGTGGATGGCAGGGCCTGCAACATTTCTGTGGTCGTCAATGGCGATGGACGGTGATTCCCACGAACCAACTAGAAAAAAACTGTTGTCTTGGTGGTCCGTGATCTATAATAGTTCAGACATTCGCATTACAATTAAATTCGCTTAAAAAACCGAAGCTGAAATCCTGGTCACTACCTCATTTTAACTCAGTGCGTCATATAAGATCTGGTCCTGCATTGGATAGGAACAGCGGGTTGATAATGCAAAATCCATTCTATTCTTAATAATGTAAGATGATTTCAAATAAACTATTTCCAAATTTTTTCTCTTACTTCTACTGTAAAACTTTGCATCTTGCCAAACTTTAAGATTTTCAGTGAACGGGAAGTTGCAGAAACATCTTCATGAGGGAGTAGCGAGTATCTGACGTAAATGTCGCATTACCGTACCATGATCGCATTGCTTTATAAGCTTTATTATTACGTTTACACCGCGAAGAAACAGAAGTCAATCATATTTGGCATGAACTTCACTTACTCCACCCGTTCCTGAGAAAAAATGATTTCAGAAGATGAACAAACAAACAGAGTAAACGAGATGACTATACATAGGTTTAATCGACCAAGGTGCGAAATTATGTTAAATTCGCTAAACTGCAAGGGAGCATAAAGCATTGCTATACGCTTTCACAACCGCTGTAAATTGAGAAGTACACACTACTAAAGAAAGCCACCGAAATCGTATATAATAATAAATTTTTATTCATTTTTATTTCTGAGTATGCAGAGTAGTTAAGGTTGTATTTAAATCGCATACGGCGAAGATTTTTCAATTTAGCAACGTTAGACCTTTGGTTTCATAATTTTTAAATATTAATGTTTTGAAAATAATTCGGTCAATTTCGAATTTATTTATTGCCTTCGTGATGAATATTCATGTAACATTTCATTTTACGCTATTGTTAATTGTAAGACGACGAAGCCCCATCTTACATGTGTGTAATGATAAGAAAGAAGTGCATGAAATTGAACCTGTCCAATATCTACATAGAACACTGTCTTTATATTTTGGGAGTTAATTAGAGTTCCAATCTAGTTAGAAAGCGAGTAATTTCCTTTAAAAATTTGTTTTGACGACCAGAATTGCACCCCTTAAACTAAACACAGCAAATACTAAAGGAACCGGAAATAAAGAAAAATAAGTACTTCACACAAAATGGTCACATTCAACTTCATGGAGCGATTGTTTGTAGTTTTGCCGCTTTCATTTTCTAATTGATCTTATCGACATGTAAAGATAATCAACGAGTTTGCATATTGAAAACACTTGAAGATAAACAGTTGGCGCCAGCTTGCAAAAGATCGTTTTGGACAGAACTTTCGCGTATTTTTTTAAATTTTGTACGAAAAATGAAATAATTTGTAAATTTGCAATATTTTTGTCTTCTTTATACATACCGGAAGTATTAAATAAAGCACTCTAAGTCTTAGCTGGAACTGGCTTGCTTCTGAAAACTTTTTTAAGTATTGTCGCTTTGTTTTGAAGATTTAAGACCAAAACCAAAAGGGAGTTAAATACTCCGATAGCTTATCCTAAATAACTGTCTAAAGCGCGATTTGGGAAATATGCATATAACCTGTCGCTAAAAACAATTGTTGCCTTTAATGGTGACTCTCGAGTCGAATCTCTCTAACAATGACGACTTCGATTCCACGATCTTGTCATAATTGTCCATAATCCACACTAAGCGAGCACCTTGGGGCGATAAGATATTACAATGACTGAATCATTGACTTTAGCTTTTACTTGCTTATTATGCCATACGTATCTGATTTACTCATAATTATTTTTAACAAAATATAAATTACGCATCTCATCGTTGTATATTGCACCATTACCACTGACAAATGTAGCCTTTGTAGCCGTCATACACGTCATACATCAGCCTGTCATACACGTTAATTAATTATTCAAATATGAAATAAAACCGTTTAAAAACTTTTAAGTTAAACGGTTTTATTTTATGTTTTTTTTGTTAAATTTTTTTTTGTTAATATTGTATTGTCATCTAAATTAAATGTGTGTACCAAATTTCAGATCAATCTGACAACGGCAAGGTGCTTAAATTTCAATTTCTAATTTTGACCCAAACAAACAAATTCGGTACGGGTCGAGCTAAATAAAACCGTTTAAAAATCAAATTGAAAATTAGCAAATAGTCTTACTTTTAATTCGGTATAATTTTGTGAAGATAATATATCCAATTTAGTTATAAATAGACCATAGCAAGTGGAGTCACATATATTCCGGCTATTAGCATTGTGCGAGAAGAGTCTAAGGTATTAGAGCCACTCAGCACCTTCTTCCTTTTGCAGGAATGGGCGAACTCGACCACAGTTACAAAGCCTCAACTAATTACACTTACTTACAATTATATTTTAAGTGTAAGAAAGTATAAATACCATTAATCATACTTAGAATTGTTTATACTTCCTTCTGTTGATTGAGATAGCCATGGGCAATCATCTAAATATATAGATTCCTTCCTTCTTCGGCACCTTCTGCGGCACACACTGAAGACCAGGTGAGCCGCCTCTGCTACCATTCTTCGGTGGGAAAATTAAAAGGTTCACAAAACCAATACCGAAAGACTACAAGACGATTGAGCTACTATTCGTTATTACAACTGAATACAAAACGGAAATTGTTTTGAAAACGTGCACTCGTAGTGCACTCGATCGAACTTATCGAATCGAAGAGGCCACCCGTTCGCAAGTTGAGGAAAACCGGCAGATCTTTGCATTGGGCTAAACAATTCGACCACGACCGCCATTAAAGGACGCGGCGGGGTCAAGGGACGCGGGAAAAAGCGTGCGATGCGAAATATCGTTGATAAATATTAATAGGTTAAGTGATACGTTTATTGTTCGCTATGCACCGTATACGGGCCGGGCAACCTTCACGCTTAGACAAAGTCGGACATTTGCATAAAATTTTACTTCGCACTAACCCGCCGCGCGTAGTAGAGCAAATTCCTTTTTATGTGAGCACTGGGCTGCTTTTATGGGACTGTTTGTTGCAAACGTGAGGGGAAACTGATTTCGTTTCTGGTATTAAAGAAAAATGTGGATTAATGGATTAATAATTGTTTTGTTTTTATTGTATTTAGAAGATATGAACATACCCATGTTTTCTTTATGTGGACTGTAACTGTACAATACAACTCCAGGAAATGATTACTGCTTTTTGTAAAATAACGTAACCTACTTTGATGTTTCTTTGTAGATTTGATCACTAGACGGAAACCATGGAAAATCTTTGGCGGATATTTTCAGAATCGATATAACATTTGTATCGTTTCCGAAAATATTGTATCAAAACGCCTGACTTCAGTTCACATTATGTACTTATTATCAATTGTACACATAATCATTCATGAAGGCATCTAGCGAAATTTCGTAACAGCCCTTGACGCACTCAATACTATAAAATGACCGTGTCACCTCGGTTTTATTTACTTGCCTAAAGCAATGAACACACAGTATTCTGATAAAACTCGCACCGATGTTTGTTTATTTCGCCGCGATATATTTATGATGGTAAAACCCTTTCATCAAAATTGATTAATCACGTTATTTACCAACATTCTCGGTAAATAACGCTACTTCTTTATTGTCAGTTTGAGATAACGCAGCAGTCGCGTACTCATTTCGTACGGCGTTTTTCAAAAATTGTTGACAAAATAATAGAGACCTCTTATTCGTAAGATAAAGACCAATACAATTTAACAATCATAGCTAACGGGCGTCAGAGTGGTTAAAATACAAAATTAATAAGGATTCCTTAAAAAGGATTACGTAAATGTAAAGAGTTACTGCTACAAAATATAATTCAAGGAAACATAAATTCAGTATCTGCTTTAGTACCTACAAAAGGATAAAACAACTGAATGCAAAAAGTTGCCGTACGTTTAGATAAGGTATTAAGTATAACATTTCGGAGAAGTGATCACATAATGTTATTATTGCAATTGAAATCTATTGTAACTGTCAATTTATCACAAAGCAGGCAAGCCGACTTGGTCTTGCTAAAAAGCTAACCACTTCATATTCCGAACAGATTAAATTGACGTTATCGTCTCTTACATTAAAGGGGCTTATTTAGTTTTAAACCCGTCTACTATTATATTATCGACACCCAAAACACTTCAGTAATACATGATAGAGTTATAAACGATGTGCAGCAACTCCGAATTTTAGTTTTAAAATATAAATCTCTTCAATACTGGCTTTACTAATTTAATAAATGCGACGGTGAAAAAAACATTTCCTTCTGTCTTTAAATAGCTTTGTATAAATGAGGGTAGGAAGGCCTTCGACGCGATTGTCATACCGAGTAATTACTGTATTCCCCACATTACCCGGTCTATCAATATACTTGGCCAGGAAACGTACAGTTTCAAAAATATTTTGAGCTATTCCTAGTTTTAGTTCGACTTTTACTAAATATGTGATTTCTAATCATTGACCAGGAAAATGGAAATTAGACGGGTTACATAAAAATAACCTCACTAGCGAATGAAGTATCGCAGTAGGTACAACAGAGTATTTTATAATAGTTTAAAACAAGGATTAAATAATTGTTGTGTGACATTAAAGTGACCAATAACTTTAATTTGGCCAATAGTTTAGTTATAGTAATAATAACTGCATCTCAGTCTTCTTTTAAAAGGGCTATATAGTAGTTCAAGTGCTTTCACACGAGACAAGTGTCAACTTCGGTCCACCATACGAGAAAATATTGTCAAGAACTGTTTGTGGTTAGACTCATTATTGTTTACCTTTACTAACACTACATTAAGTACTTAAATAACTTGTCAATAAGCCCATTTTGATAATCAAGTATTCTCGAGCGTCGCCGGTTATAAAATAATAATTGTTATTTAACGACGGCTATTAAATGATCGATAATTTAGGAACAACAACAATTTCTGTTACAGGTTTAGATTTCTTGGAACATGGAGCTGACTTCGAAGCTGCGATTTCCGCTACTGGTGAGTAATTTTTGTGTAATTCAAAAAGTTTAATTTCCCTTTATGGTAACGTAGATTTAGTAAACTGAATATTTATAATTGTTTTAATTAATGTAATAAATTATTTCTTGACTCGATGAAAATCAAATTATCATATAAACACTAGAACCGTGATAGCTCAGTGTCAGGGCGTTTGCTAATTAAACAATATAATCAAACAACCAGAGTTCAAATCCCAGTGCCGGCACCAACAAAATTGTAAAACGCAATTTTATGTGCTTATTTATCATATGCTCAGAGGTGAAAGAAAACATTATGAAAAACACTATATATTTTCGAACTCATAAAAAATATTTTAAAGATATGTGAAGTCTAACAATCCGCAGTGGGGACGCGAAACCCCTCTGGACAGAGGGACTTTGCCCACCAGTGGGACATGTATAGGCTGTCATATTACTTTTTGCTAAAACAATTAAAAATATAAAATAAATATAATGCAAAATTGAGACGGTAAAATTTTATTTCAAAGCTGCCTGCTATGGATTTTAAAACGTCAACGTTTTATGCAAATAAATATGTTGTTCTCACATTTTTACAGGTTTCGGACGTTTCCACTTCTGCCTTCTGGCCATTACGGGCCTGATCTATGCCAATACCGCTATCGGTATCACTATTGTGTCCTTCGTGCTGCCCGCAGCAACATGCGACTTCCGAATGACGTCTTCTGATAAAGGATGGCTTACTGCAGCTCCTATGTTAGGTAAGGTGGCTCTAGAAATGTTTTCGAGATGGTTCGTTTCTAATAACGTACATCGATATATTGTTTAATACCAGATTAATAGTGTTTAATACCAGAGAATTATACCAGGCTACTGGAGCGACAACCTTCTTGGTGCTAATGTAATCCTTTCCTCTTTAATGAGGAGATTGGTCCGGGTTATAGCTGGAAGACGTTGGTTCGAAACTCTATCTAATCCTCATATACTTATAGTATAAGCAATAATCGAAGGGGTTTTTGATAATTATAATAATAATGAAATTTCAAAGTAAATACTTTAGCATCGGACAATGTTGTAGATTGATTTTATGTAGTATGGTATTTATGTAATTTACATATCAATTATAGCCGCTTTGATATCTGGAAAGAATTCCATCCACAGAATTTTCATTAGGTGGTATAATTAAACCGTAACAAGAAACTTCACAAATTAAAAACGATGATATAAATAATAATTACATCGTTATCAAATTTTCTTATCGTTTTAATTATATTAAATTTATATGTTTTACTCAGGAATGGTTATCGGCTCATATTTCTGGGGCTGCCTCGCTGATACCAAAGGCCGTAAATTGGTGCTGGTGTCGACACTGCTGATCGATGGCTTCGTTGGCATCACTTCCTCATTCGTCCAGATTCTACCTGTCTTCATGGCATGTAGATTTATCAACGGTTTCTCGTGAGTATTATATTATTTATACTTTATACTTTTTTAAATTATTGATTTTTCATAAATTGTCTTTTCCAAATTATTATCATCATCGTTTAAGTTACTTATTTTTTTCTTTAACGGTGGTAGGGCCACGCAGCAGCCTCGGCTGTTGCATGAATGGTCAGGCCCGTCCGGATAAGTACCACGACCTCACAGAAGACCGGCGTCAAGTGGAAGTATGACAAATACTTTCGCGTTTCGTCTGGTGAGTGAGGTAGCCGGAGCCCAAACTTCAAAAGGTTGTCAACACATCTGTAACCCTCGGGTGTGGCAGATGTCCATGGGCGGCGGTATTCACTTAACATCAGGTGAACCGTCTGCTCGTTTGACAACTTTTCGCATAAAAAAAAAATACTTCGCTAGAACAATGTAGATCTTCCGTGTAATGCATGTTCCAATATATATCGTAAAAAAATGTGCAAAATATATTTTTCATTTTACATAAATTTAGCAATGTCACTGATATCTCTCGTGACATTACGTGCAGATAACGTCCAACATGCTACTTAAAGCTGTCAACATGTGTCAACTGTATCTGAAAGAAAAATCATTTCATGCCGCGACAAACAGCCGCACAATACAAAAAGTGAATGATTACAGAAGCGATCATCATTGAATCAGCATTGAATAAAACTCACTTGATTACAATCATACAATGACAATTATTACGTTACATTTCCACAATCCTTGAGCTATTAAGATAAAAATAAGAAGCTACGTTTTGTAGTATTCAACGTGTAATTTTATTTGAACAGGAGTTCATTTATAATCTTCGATATGTATTCCATTCATATAAAAAAAGTTCTTTTATTATATATATTTTGATAACAGTCATGGCCATACTAATTTTTACCATCATTAATAAAATAAGTAAATTAAGCTTTGAAGAGTTATAAAAAACTTGGCGTTCCTATTTGTATTTTTTACACAATCTTAATGTTACCAAAGTGAGTTATTAATGGTGAGGTTGATATTTATAAAAATATCTTTCAGAATTGCCGGCGCTATGGGTATATGCTTCCCATACTTGGGAGAATTCCAGCAAACCAAATACAGAGAGAAAATCCTCTGCTGGATGGAAATGTTCTGGACTCTGGGTGTCATCTTACTTCCACGTAAGATATATCTATAATACTTCAACTTGTCTAAAGCACATAGTCTTCGTAAAAGTAAATACTGTTAGCATACAGTTGCATACAATTTACCGAAAAATTCAACTAAATTTATCACAACAGGACTTTGTCCTCTGATAAAAAAATGTGTTTAACATGTACCTCAGAATAAATGTACCTAATTGACACAAAACATTTAGAGTTTTATGTTTTCATTATAATTTTAATATACAACAATTAATTTACAACTGTGATAGGGCCATGCAACAGTGTTCACTGTTGCACAAATGGTCAGGTCCGTCCGGGTTAGTACCACGACCTCACAGAAGACCGGCGTAAAGTAGTAGTTACACTTCTGCGTTTCGTCTGGTGAGTGAGGTAGCCGGGGCCCATTTTATTTAAAGGTGGCAACACCCTATGGGTGTTGCAAATGCCCATGGGCGGCGGTTATCACTTAACATCTGGTGAACGGCCAGCTTCTTATGCCACTTTCGAACATAAAAAAAAAACAAAGGCTGGATGTACTTTACGGATCGGTTACCAGCTTCTTTATTGCATTCCCCTCGAACAGTGATCGCGTGGGGCATCATCCCGATCCAAGGGATCCGCATTGAGAACGGCAGCTTCTCGTACGACTCGTGGAATTGGTTCGTCTCCGCGTGCGCGGTGCCGTCGCTCTTGCTGGGCTTCTGGCTCATGACCTTCCCCGAGAGCCCCAAGTTCATGATGGAGTGCGGCGACTACGACGACGCGCTCGCCTGCCTCAAGAGCATCTACAGGCAGAACACCGGCGACGATCCCGACAACTACCCGGTATTGGATGCCGCTTATAGTCTACACATAGTCTATACAGATCAATAAAATTGGAGTGTCTGTTTGTAATATAAAAATAACCGCTTTTTACTAAATGCATATGGATGTTACATGTATCAAAATAATTTTTTGTCTGTTCGTCTGTCTTTTTGTTCCGGCTAATCTCTGAAACCGCTGAACCGATTTTGACGGGACTTTCACTGGCATATAGCTGATATATTGAGGAGTAACGTAGTCTACTTTTATTTTAGAAATTTTAATTATTTTAAATTTCACGCGGACGAAGTCGCGGGCACAGCTAGTCATTGATAAAATGGTACATGAACTTGGAGCAAAACCTTTCGCCACTTTCAGGATTCGGGCATACGCCCTCGAGATTAGATGTCAACATGCTGTAGCCAATTAGCTAAGTTGTCGATATCCTCGCCGCGCGCGTCTCGACATGTTTCTTACTGCCTTTATATTGATTTTTAGCAATACTCGTAATGAGGTTCAACTTAAAATTAAAAATTAAAGAATGCTTTGTAATCTTTGGAAGTTTGCTTCCTTTTTTGTATTCGATGCTCTCCGCATTTGACATCATTCACAATCCGTACAGCAAAGGACAGGAATAATCTCTTTGCGCCTTTATGTCCGTCGGATTAAAATGTGATTGGAGACGTCCAAGGGAATGAATATGTTTTTAATGAGTTAGTACATTTTCTATAAAAAGATTGTCAAATATTAGTCAATACCACGATAATCGAACCATCAAAAATATACCATCGTAAACTATCGATAAAAATTTCGTTAATAAAATAATTTTCAAATGTAAATAACTTCAACTCGGGCGTAATTCAATTAAAATAAATTTTAAACGATAGAGAAAAATCTCTAATGAATTAATCAACAAGCAGAATTCGGCGGACGCTTATAGTTTTCGAGAGAAAAATATTTAAAACTTGTTATTTTTACTAAGAAATCCACCATTTTATTTATTTGACTTCAAAAACTCAATACACAGTTCTGCCAACATGATAAATATAGGAAGCGGGCGACATCATACTCGTATCGATAGTCTAAAAAATAATAAATAAAAAATATTTATACATGTACAACATACCTTTTTTATAAATTATGTGACAAGCACCGACCATGGGCATTTACAACATCCGTTGTATGGCATAGAAATTTAAATTGGTTTTAGTGCTAATCTTTGCATTTAAGATTGAACATTAAAATATGTAGAAAAAGTACGAGAACATTGTCTCCGCTGTGGGTATCGAACCCAGGTCTTAGGCAGATACGTTGGTAACCTTTTGAAAATTGGGCTCCGGCCACGTCACTCACCAGACGAAACGCGAAAGTATTATACTTACACTTTACGCCGGTCTTCTGTGAGTTCGTGGTACTTACCTGGACGGGACTGCACATTCGTGCAACAGCCGATACTGCTGCGTGGCCCCACCACCGGAAGAATAGTATACCAACCACTGTAAAGTATGAGATAATAAAGTACTTGGTTCACATTTCTCTTACACTGAAAACTATTAACAAAATTCTCATTTTAATATTCATAGATCAAGAGCCTCAAGGAGAAAGTGCGAACAATTTCGGTGGCGTCGCAAAACTCACAAAAATCTGTGCGAAGTCTCAGCATACGCAAGCCTAAAGACCTCAAGAGGTTATTCAGCGAGATCTGGGTCCAAACCAAAGCTTTATGTCGACCACCCTACCTCAAGTACACGATCCTTACCTGCCTTATTCAGTTCGGCTTAACTACGAGGTAAGAAAAATATGCTCTACAATTGCTAATTAAATTGATATATCATTGGCATTCTAAAATAGTAGTAAATCCTTATAACGCCATGGTTATCACTGAGTATATAAGAACATATAGAATACTAAAAAAGTTGTGTGGATGATTAAGCAAAAGTTGTAGTATGATTTTAAGTAAAAGTTAAACTGTTATGAAATAAAAATCATCAAATCAACAACTGATAAACCGGTCAATACAGTCGTCGAATGAAAGATCACAGAAGAAGAAACCCTATAAACTTTCGCGAACAACTCCATCTCTACTTTCAGCTATTACACCCTCATGATCTGGTTCCCCGAGCTGTTCAACCGTTACGAGGAGTTCGAGCACCGCTTCCCCAACACCTCGGCGTCTGTGTGCGACGTGTCCGGCATCGTGGTGAGCGACGAGGCTGTCGCCGACCCGTTCGACTGCGAGAAGATCATCGACCAGAGCGTATACATGCACACGTTGATCGTCGGCCTCGCCTGCATCCCCACCTCGCTGTGGCTGCCACTTTGCGTGCACAAGCTCGGCGCTAAATTCTTCTTGAGCAAGTATCCCAATACTAAATGAACCTATGTTTACGGATTTATCGCGTTTATTTTTACGTTTAATTCCCGACGTTTCAAACCCTTTATAGCGTTCATGGTCATGGGACAGACTGAGACACCTCAGTAAACATCATTTAGTAATGTGTAATTGACGAACATGAAACTTCACTAATTATTCGTGGAACAATAGTTAATTTTTATTTAAGTGTAGCTCGTAGAAATATCTTCGTTCTACGAACTTATGTAGGGTCATTAATTAACCGAATGCGGTCAAAGTTTGGGACAGTATGTCACATTGGAGCTGGTTTATCTGGCATCATCTTGCACAGATTGTATCTTGCGTTTCATTAGACAAAACGAAATAGTATATGCAATAGGTACTTCGACTTCACGCTGGTCTTCTAGAGGTCGTAGTTCTTCCCCGGACGTTCCCATTCATGCAATAACAAAAGCTGCTACGTAGCCCTACCACAATAAATATTATTGGAAGTACTTATAATTATTAAAGTAAGAAATTAAATAGAAAGTAATTGAATTAAAACCCAGATTTTAGACACAATAGAAGTAATTAAAACCCAGAAAGGGTTGAAATCAAAATGCTGGCTGAGAAAAGAGAGAAAATACCATAGAAATTATGTATAAGCTACAGATCTTATTAAGTATTGAAGATAAATACGAAAACAATAACATTTTTCAAGATTTGTGACTATTAGCAGCTTTTAAATTGTTTTATGATTTTCAGTCTTCAGTTTGGGAGTTGCCGCTTTGGTGACATTCGGGCTGTACTTCGTGCAAAACTCCACCCAGAATCTGGTGCTCTCCTGCATCTTCGAAGCCCTCACCTCGCTGGCCATTAGTCTTGTGTTCTGCGTACTCGTCGATCTGTTCCCTACTAACCTTCGGTAAGATTTAATAAACTTAACATTTGCATCTTATACAATACACAAATATATCTACCAAACAAATATTTTTATTTAGCTATAACGTATTTCTTTTTCCAGAAAACGTATATTAAAGAGAGGTTTTGCACATAAGTACACACCCAGATCTAGAAAAATTATTAGTAGGTCATACAAATATTGTCGCGGATGTGTGCGCCATCGTGGGAGTTTTCCCCATCAAATGTCCGAAATATCCCAGCACTGACATTCCCAATATGATCAAAATTTAGGCGATGAAGGCCGACTTTTTTAAACATAGCATTGTATTTGTATTTTTTATGGAAGGGATTAGGTAGTATGTCCCAACGAACACTGCGATCTATAAAGATCTATTGCAGTATTCCCTTCTAAAACCATCGCCCCCTTACTGTAGGATAACATCATGTATTTGTAAGGACTCTATTGTAGGATAACATTCTGATTAATTTCTCGTGAACAAACACAAAGACCCGAAACATCTATCTGTGGGTCACACAAATAGTTGATTCGTGTCGAAATCAAACCGACGACACCCGGCGCCAAAGCCAACACATTTGCAACTACACCACGGAGTTGTTTAAACATTGCATTAATGTTACATTAAAATTTTTAGGGTGATGGCGGCAGCATTGTCTCTGACCGCGGGTCGAGGTGGTGGCCTCATTGGAAACCTGTCCTTCGGCTACCTCATCGACATCAACTGCATAGTACCTATAGTCGTCTTCTCAGCATTCTTACTCAGTAAGTATCTGTTTCTTCTTGAATCTGTTCTTTCTTTCTGCATAAAAATTGATAGAACATTTGTGGATTCGAACATCAAATTTTAATTTAAATCTAATAGTGCCTGTATTCTGGCCGATAAAATTTTCATACCTAGGTTTTAGTTACCTTTATTCTGTTGTTTTCTTATAGTTATCGTTTGATCAATTTAAAGTAGCTTTTTATTTTAGTTAGCTATTTAAATTATAGGACTGTTTAAGCCTCTCTATCCAAAGTTTCTCACACATAAATTATACACATATAAACTACTTATTTAAGAAAAAATATTTTATTTTTAACAACACAATAACTGTAGTAAGCTTTCGTATATTAGTTTGTATAATAGTAGCGTATTTTGTAATACAAACGGAGCTATATAATTGCGCCGTATATTCAGGATATTACTTTATTACGGAGTAGTTATATCTCTGTGTATTTTAACAAAAATCTTTCCTCATTTTCCAGTTGCTGCTATACTTTGCTTCTTCTTGCCAAAGACAGGCCAAGAAGCCCTGGATTAAACTATACAAGTGCCCACTGAAAACTAGATAGTGCAATTAGACTTTCAGCAGAAGTGTAACGATCACAGCTCCAAGCGGTTGTACGTAATAGGATGTAAATATTGAGGACTAAGTATAATTATTTATTTGTTCAAATCACTTAGTTTATGCAGTGCTGAAATGAGGCTCGATACAATTTATAGGATCGCGCAACACGTGGTTACCGATATACTGTGATTCAGAAGAATAATGTCTTATGTTACGTAAGATTGAACAACAGTATTTTAGAGTTGACTGTGTAATATAATGCCCTTAAATTATTGTAATTATTATTAAAGGTTACTTCGCCTTGTATGATATTGTTTTATTTAGCTTTCTAACCCAAATGTTTTCTGTTTTCAACATGTACAAAACCACTCTTAAGTACAAAATATTGCCGCATTAAGTTAAGAGTTGCACGAAGTTGCTAGGTATTTCTAAATAAATTATAATAATATTCCTGGAATATTTCAAGTACACTTTTTAGTACTGTCTAGAAAAGAAATATTACCTAGATAAACTCCGATTCAAAAGTTACATCAATGTATTATGTATGATGCATCGTCTTTATTAAAATGACGAAAAAAAAAGCACATGTTTAAATATTTGGTAACATTTAATCGTGTTAATTAACAATACATGAAATTTTTAGGATTAAAGTTTTATCTGTTATGGCCGCATTCGCGAATCGGCGATCTCATATCCCACATCCAAACAGTCCGCGGAAACTTCAAGCAGGTGGTGGAAACAAATCATCTCTCTTCGAACAGCTGGAGAACCTCACATGCCTGTTGCGGGTGAAAACGCAGTTATATAGGACTAACCAAGGAGAGGTCAAAGAGGACGTGCAAGAGATAAGGGTAATAGACGGGACACTGATAGAGTATATATAACACGCTGTCATACACTGCCTTCTAGTGGTTGACGAGAAACCTCAAATCAAAGAACGTCGCCTCAATACCTCCGCTGAGTGTCCGGCGGTAATAAAGTCTGCGAAGACTGTCTAAGCGACGGTCTCCAGCTTTAAGGCTCGTCAAACCGCAACCCATTAGTTAATTCAAGTTAACCCCGCAAAGTCAACCTTCCCTCCAACACATAGGGGTCGATGAGGTTACATCTATCATTGAGCACCTCAAAAATGTTCCGCGCCCGGTCCGGACTTAATCTCCGACAGAGTGATTAAAACACTCCCTGCCCACCTCATTTGCCTTTTACTAGTAATATTTGATGCACTCCTCGACACCTGTTCCTTCCCAGATAAGTGAGAGGAAGGGGAGATGCCTTTCCCTCACTTATCGGCATCTCTAAGCCGAGATTTACAAACTAACGAAACGAAGGTTTACCCACCCATTAGTGTTCTTTATAAGGGGAAGATTTACGATTTACGCATTATCCTAGCAAAGATTAAATAAATGCGTTCAATTATCAAATCAATCATTAAATTTCATTCGCGAGAAATTCGGCCTTAGGGCCAATTTAGGGCCACCATTCTTTACTATGCATCGCCTTATGGAGTCTTGAGGCATTCACGTGGGCTTATCTGACTTTAAACATTCTTCTACTTCATCTAAATAATCAGTATTCACAATTCAATTAACTCTCGGATCAAGATTGTCCAAGTCCATATAAAAATTGTAGATTCATCTTAATAATTTTTGAACTAACAGCAAAATCAAATGAAAACTTACTTATTATTATGGAAAAACTAGTTTTGTTTTTTATCACCAAAACATTTTATAACCAAACTTTATTAAAAATCAAAGATCACATTCATTAAAATACACATTAATAAAAAAATTTACATAATAGTTTAAAATATATTTTTATACAGTTGAAATAATGATGAATCTCCATACAGTAATGTTAAGTTTTTTAGCATAACTGTGCAATATGTAAACTACCAGTATTAGATAAGCAAACTTATTGGGTAGATTCCATACTTTTGACAAAAGGAGTAGGGTACAATTATAGAATATGTTGACAAATAAAACAAATAACAAAATTATTTCAAAAACATTAGTAATTTAACTGAATGTTAATATTGTGATTTCTTTATTATAGGATTAAAATTTAAAAGACTAATAAAATTTTAACATAAATATTAATCATCAATTGGAGAGAGGAGATAACAAATTTTTATTAAAGTTTAAATTTCATTTAAAGTTTGCTTATGTAATATTTGAAAACATAAGAATTAAAGATCTTAATATTGTGTAATTAAGATTATTTATATATTAATCTCTTATTTAGCTTTAAGCTCTATAATATGCAAGTATATCTTTATAACGATACAGGTAAATAAATTGCGTTTTGACATTAAGCTGACAAGAAAAGTTAACATAATGAGCTACAATAAACACAAAATAGCGCTAACTGACCTGACTGGAAGTTTTTAATAAGAGTGAATTTCAATAACTCACTTGACTGCAGTTGTGCTTCAGATCACTTGGCACAAAATAATATGCTTATGATATTATGCAAATTTTTATTCATGATTACTTTGCACGTACCTGTATCATAATAAAGGCAAAAGTTACATAATAAATCATCATCATCAATTATAAGTTACATAATCAACGTGATGTCTGCGCAGCGCTGGGAACCTGAGGCAGGCCAAACTCGTCAACTGGTACTCCATCCTTGTTGCGTATGCTATCAGCTCCAGGTTCTTTGTCCGGGGCAGCCGGAGCCTTGACAACGTCATCCAAGTATGAGGTGTCATCATCTAGAGCAATTTCATCACCTGTAAATGTGTGATATATTAGGAATTGGTGACGTTACACAAATATGTCATTTAGAATTATTCTCCTTTCTGTTCTGAAAAGTTATCTGTATTATTGTTCAATATTTTTTTATTTCAATGTAGGGGAAGGTAGTCACCATTTGTAAGCGGGGCACCATTTGTAATATTCATACATTAGTTAATGCGACAAGTTAGCGGACGTTCCTTTTGGATGCAAGCAAAAGTGGCCTAGCTGTCAATACTTCAATGTAGTTTCGCGCCATTCCCACCATGGAGAGTAAAGTGAAAGACAGAAACCTATATTCGCACTCGGTAAGTAATTTTTTGATTCACGTATCACATCATTACACTAGATAAGATTAGTTTCCTACACAGGTTTTCTACCGGTAACTAGTAAATTTCCTTAGGAATTTTTTTTAAAAACTATATAATCTATTTTGCATATGGATATAAAAAAATGTTATATTTAATTATCATTTGTTAAATGGGGCACTTTTGTACAGAACCCCACGGAGTACATTCGTACGCATATGAAGGTGCCCCAGGCCGATTGTTCGTGTATATTTTATTATAATATCTATTTAATATTCTACTTTACAGGAAAATGTTGCTAAATTATAAACCTATAAAAAATATAATGTAATAAAAGTATTTTAATAATTTGTTAACTTCAAGATAATTTACGAATAAATTTTGTTGACTAGATGAAAAGTGAAGTGTTTGCGAATATTATTTTCTGTCCACATAAATAATAATATTCTATTTGCAATTATAATCGCAATGTATGAAACTACCCCACACATGGAGCAGATTCTTACCATTGACTTAAGTTTAAGTTATAATTGTGCAATAAAAATAAGATATTATTATCAAAGTTTTTTTTAATCAATCTAACTAATATACTGTATGTACGAAGTTCATTATGTAATGGAATAGTTTAAATGAAAATAAATAGAATGTAAAAACCATACGAAGGGACCTTCCCCTATTAATTATTTACATGTTCAATTCAAAAACCAATTCCAGTTACTAATGGTCATGTTACCAATATTCCTATCATTTTGGTTCTCACTGAAGTAAAATAAATAATAGTTTCAAAAACTAAAAATCACACTTTTATAAATAATGAACAATAAATTTAATTTAAAAATAGTGTGATCAACAAAAAAAATTATTCTATTGTAAGAAAGCGTGGACGGAGTCATCAAACTAAGATTACAGACATAGCTCTTAGGGGAAGCTGAAGAAGCAGTAGGCTGGTCACATTCCTCGCAAAACCGACAGCTAATGTAGCGGACGAGTTTTTGAGTGGTGACCATGTTTAGGCAAACATAATATAGTACACCCTCAGGATAAGTGGAGTCACAACTTGCTTTAAATTGCTAAAAGTATCTAAACACTAATGTAAGATCGAGTCAAATAGTGTTGACTAGAAGAGGCTTATGTTCATCAGTGGACAACCAAAGGCTGATAATGATGTAAATGTAAAATTTTAGTACCAAGGGCATCAAGCTCTGCTGCAAGTTCATCGTCATCTATCTCAGGTACACCATATTGACGACCCAATGCATCCTGCACTTCATCAGCTTGTTCTAACATGTCAGCTAATTCATCATTAACATCCTGCAAAAAATAAATTTAATAAGTAAGAATATATTCATAGATCAATAAGGAATTACAAATAACAATAAAATTATTTCATTTTGTTGTACAATAATTTGTTTTTCAAAACAAAGGTTAGATAAATTAGTGAGGTTGACACACATGCAATTGGATAAAATTTAAACATTTCAGCATTATAAAGTAATATTATGTATAAACTAACTGCAATTTAAAATAAACAAAATTTCTAATATAAAGTTACTCCTTATTACATCAGCAATCTGCCAGTAAAAGTCCCGTCAAAATAGGTACAGTCATTTCTGAGATTGAACGGAAAAAACAAACATACAGACAGACAAAAATTGTAAGGTCTTATTTTGGTATAATATGTACTGTGTAAATATACATATGCATTATTAAAAAGTGGTTATTATATTACAAACAGACACTCCAATTTTATTCATCTGTATAGATTATATGCATTAAAGTTTTGCAAACAATTTTCACAAAATAAGAGTGCTCCAGAGTTGGCGCCGGTTTTAACGCGTCTCTTCCGGCACTCCTATACTTTAGGCGTAGTCCCGAAATCATGGAAGGCCGCGTTAGTGCACCCGATCCCTAAAAAAGGCAACCGCTCTGATCCGTCCAATTACAGGCCAGCCATCACCTCCTTGTTCTCCACGATAATGGAGTCTGTTATCAACGGCCAGCTCCTGCGGTACCTAGAGGAGCACCGGCTGATTAGCGACTGCCAGTATGGATTTCGTCGGGGTCGCTCAGCCGGTGATCTTCTGGTCTACCTTACACATCGATGGGCAGAAGCAGTTGAGAGCAAGGGGGAGGCGCTTGCAGCCAGTCTGGACATAGCGAAGGCCTTTGATCGGGTATGGCACAAAGCGCTTCTTTCGAAGCTGCCTTCCTATGGGCTTCCCGAGAAATTATGCAATTGGATCACCAACTTTTTGGCAGATCGGAGCATCAAGGTCGTCGTCGACGGTGCATGCTCCGATCCTAAATTTGTCAATGCTGGTGTTCCACAAGGCTGCGTACTGTCTCCTACTCTGTTTCTTCTGCATATCAATGACATGTTGCAAATCAGCAACGTCCATTGTTATGCAGACGATAGCACTGTGGATGTCTCGTACACTGGCCGAGCTAACATTTCTCCGGAAAACGTCTACGAGTGTCGGAACAAGCTTGTGTCTGAGGTCGAGACTTTGTTAACCAAAGTCTCAGACTGGGGTCGACTAAACCTAGTCCAATTTAACCCCAAAAAGACACAAGTTTGCGCGTTAACCGCTAAAAAGTCCCCATTTGTCGTGACTCCTCATTTCGAGAACACTCCCCTATCTGCCACAGCTAGTATCGGAATGCTTGGCGTCGAAATCTCGAGCAACGTCCAGTTCCGCGGTCAATTGGAAGGTAAGGCCAAATTGGCCTCAAAGAAGCTTGGCGTGCTCAGCAAGGCGAGACGGTACTTCACGGCTGCCCAACGCCTAAACCTGTATAAGGCGCAAATTCGGCCCCACATGGAGTACTGTTCTCACCTCTGGGCGGGAGCCCCCTATTACCAGCTTCTTCCATTTGACCGCATTCAACGTAGGGCGGCTAGGGTTATCGACGATCAGTCTTTCCGATCGGCTTGATCCTCTGGTTCTGCGTAGAGATGTTGGATCACTCTGCATCTTCTACCGCATTTATCACGGGGAGTGTTCTGAGGAATTGTTTGGATTGATCCCGGCGGCTGAATTCCACCATCGGACATCGCTCCAGAACCAAAAATTTCATCCACACCACCTCGATGTCCAACGTTCCAACACAGCGCGATTTTTAAGGCATTTCTTGCCTCGCACAACCACTCTGTGGAACCAACTGCCGCCGGCGGTCTTTCCGAACCGTTACGACCTGGGAACCTTCAAAAAGAGAGCGTACTCTATCTTAAAAGGCCGGCAACGCATTTGTGAGCCCTCGGGTGTTGCAGGTGTTCATGGGCGGCGGTAATCACTTACCATCAGGTGAGCCTCCTGCTCGTTTGCCCCTTTTATCCATAAAAAAAAAAATACCTCAATGGAATCAATGTTTATCTTTTTGAATTCTTTTTTCATCTGAGTGACCCCATCTTTCATAGCAGCTATTGTTGTATGTGTATCCTTCAAAGTTTGTGTAGCATAATTGGCTTGTTCCATGTTAAATGCCTGATTCCTTAAGCCTTCCAACTGTTGTTCATACCTAGAAATATGAGCAAAAATTTAAAAGATTCCTTTAAATCTGTGCAACTGAAATGGAAAAGTAATAAAAGAATTAAAAATCATTATTAATCATCTGATCATCAAGGCCTAAGTTTTGGGTTTTATAATATTCATATTATCACCCAATCCATACTAACATTATAAATGTGAAAGTAACTCCTTCTGTCTGTCTCTCTTTTACACCATAACTACTGAACTGATTTTAATAAAATTTGGTACACAGATAGTCGAGAGCCTGAGAAAGGACATAGCCTGGATTGGAAAAAAGTGTTGTAAATGGTTGAAAGATTAAAGAAAGATATTTATTTAAGGTCTTCAACGCGAGCGAAGCCGCGGGTGAAAACTAGTAATATTATAAAACAATAAAATTTCCAGGGTTACATTTCTCTATTCATTAACAAAATTTTAAAGGATAATTAACAAAAATATTAATTATAAGTAATAAACACATGATAGCTACAGAAATATTTACCAGAGCTACCTATACTCTCTATAAATTTATTATTACGTATTCAAGTCTGTATATTGAAAGCATTGATATAAAATATGACATCTAATATTTTAGGGGTATAACTACCAATATTAAATATAAATTAAAATTTTCAAGTAGTACGAACATAATCTTTTGTAAGCTTAACTTGTACCTTCAGAAGAGAGTACGAAGAATACGTACATTTTTTTTTGTTTCAAAACTCTCATAGCTTTTTGTTTCACCGAATTTTTGGCAGGACCCTCTCTCATTTTTGCCATTTGGTCCTTATACTTCCTTAACTCAGTTTCCAATTTTTGAACCTTTTGTTCAATATTATCAGCTCTGCTGTCTACCTGAAAAATTTATTAGACCCATCTTATAGCACAGATGAATCACTTGTATCAATATTTTTTTTGCTTTGGTACTCACATTGCTAATACATTCCGATATGCTTGGTCCAGGTGCCTTAGGTTTACCACGGCCGAAAATTCGATTCATTTTTGAATAGTAGGTAGTGCTTATCAAAATTAATTCCAAAAACTACAAAAATACTTTACACAGTTATAAATAATTACAGTACACAACAAGTTACAACAGATTCAGATTTATATTATTTAGGCCTAGGCATGGGTAAAATATATCGATATATAAAAATATCGATATTTTTCCAAATAAATATCGATAAATATCGTCGATATTTTTATTCCCGATATATCGATATATTTTTAACGCAAATTTGGTTTGATGCACATTCACGATAATATTTTTTTTTCAAATATTATATAGCCTGGTTGCAAGACCTTTAAGCCAATACCATGAAAATACTAATAACAAATACTATTAAGCCATCAGTTTGAGACGTGTATGACCCTGAAGTTAACAATTTTCTTGCAACAAATCAAAAATGAAAAAAATTGCACATGTAGTAATTTAAAAACTCTAAGTACAATTTTTATATATTTTCTTTTATCATTTATCGTTAGAAAAAGTTTCAAATATTATTAGACGTCGGCTAACTTCAGTATCACGAGAAGTTGATCAACTAGTTAAATTCTTCAACTATTTAGCGTGATACTTATGTCAGTTTGCATGATTTTATTTAACACTGCGTCGTTCAATGAGTCTAAATCGTCTGACTTATTAGTATTTTACAATTTCATACAATAACAAATTAATAAATTTACAAAAAAAAACACCTTTAAAAGAAGTGAAATTGAAAAGTCGCCCTTAAGTATCTAATTTGCCAGGATTCTTCGGTTTCTTCAGGAAGAGTTGCTTCAGTTGTGAATCTGACAGGGGTACTGTCAGATTCACAAATGAACGGAATCTATTGTTGGGTAACAATAGATTCCGTTTGACAGCAAAGCACATTAAACAGAGGGTGTTCCTAATGTCCGTATCAGATGATTATTGGTTCGATTAAATTGTATTTGATTCGATCGATTATTAAAAAAAAATTATAATACTTTTTTACGAATTTTCAATGGTTTGGAAATATAAAAAATAAAAAAAATAAAAAATATATAGATTTATCAATATTTTTCACTCGATAATTATCGATAGTTTTAAAAATCGATACTTTAATTGGCAAATAAGCTAACTCCATATGGGCAAGTTTTACAGGAGGCACTTAAAACTGTATAATATTTTTTTTAGACTACTTATGAGAAAATCTAAAATATAGTTGGTAGATATTATCGTAAATTGTCATTGCTGATATTATAAAATCCATTATACATTTTCATTACCATACTACAGCGTTTTTTGGGAGTTATCCGTTTTTTCTTTCGTGTAAAAGTATGTGATCTGGGAGTTAGCTGGTTTTCTTGATAGATTTATTTTAAATAAAAATTTTCTTTTTTTTTCAAGTGTACAACCAAAGCGGTGTAGGGTTTTAAAAATTGGTTATTAACAACCAGAAAAGAGTCAGGTTTATTGGTATCATCAAATTTAATTTAATTTTATAATATCTGTTGTCATCTTCTTATTAATAGTAATTCTATTACTAGAATTACTTTATCAACTAAGAAATTGGTTAAAATCGTTGCAAACTAATCAGAACTCAGCCTTTGCCTTCATTCCATAGAAAGGAACACCCATCTCTAGTTTTCATATCATAAATACACACGTTTTCAAGGGGGAAAAACGTTAACTTTTACTTAGGGTCTGCCTATTTCTTTGCCTAATTGTATCTAAAATTTTTATTAAACAATAAACATAAATTCGTTTTTTATCCCGTCATATTTAAAAATTTATTAAATAATATTTTTCCGTCATCTTCAGAAATATTATGACATTGGATAACACTATTTGTCTTTTACTTACTTTAATAGTAGTCTAGTTTCATGATTTTTTAGTAGTTTCTGTATCAAAGGAACGGTCTAATCGTTATCCGATTTGTCCTTGTAGAGAGGTTAGCTGGCTTAAAACTTAGACGCATTTTCAAGATTGTATTTAAGTGATGGTGTAAGGTGACCAGATAGGAAACTTCATATGTTTGTTTTTCAACAACAATTTCATATGTTTGCGTATACTCCATGACAGACAGTTCATTTCCAATACAATAAATGTTGTTATCAAATCTTCATCATCATTATTTCAGCCTGTTTGAGTTCACTGCTGAACACAGGCCTCCCCCATAGACTGCCACGAAGTAAGATCCTGAGCCATCTGCATCCATCGACTTCCCGCACACTTGCACAAATAAATTCGATGAATTAAAAGCTACGCTATCATGCCCAACCAAAGCGTCGTAGGGTTTTGAAAATTGGTTATTAAGAACCAGAAAAGAGTCAGGTTTATTGGTATCATCAAATTTAATTTAAATTTTTAATAAACTTTAAAATGTATAACATCCAACCGTACCGTAATAAAGTAAGAAGCAAGCCGGCCAACTCAAAGCCAATATTAGATTTTAGAATTGCTCAATTACCTAGCAATGTTTTGTAAGAACTAAAATAAGTATCCATACTGTGTATTAATGTTCAATTGTTTTTCAACACTACCTTTCCTTTTGTTGCGTTTATATAATTTTTTTCCAAATAACGTAGGGCGGTAACCGTACATGACTCGGACGCCATACGAAATAGCCGACTTAGCGATTTATAGAAAGAAATAGTGATTATATCGGACTTATTGTTTTTACAAATCAAGCGGAATTATTATTGCGTACAAACAAAGCCAAAAAATATTTTTGACCAAAGGTGGAGTTAGCTGGTTTGCCAATCAAGGTATCGAAATGGCGATACGATAAATATCGATATATTTTTTTTATTATCTAATAACTATTTTTACGTTGACTAGGCATAGGCAAAAAATATCGAAATATAAAAATATTTATATTTTACGAAATAATTATCGATATATATCGTCGATATTCTTATTCCCGATATATCGATATTCGATATTTATTTTCGACTATCGAAATTGTGTCAATTTCGATATATTTTTTAACGCAACTCTGGTGGTGTCTAGTGTTAATAAATGCGGGCACGATACTTTTTTTTGTTATAAAGATTATAATATGGCCTGGTAACAAGACCTTTAAGCCAATACCATAAAAATAGCAATTAATAATACTATTAAACTATCATTTTGGAATTGAAATTTTGAATTTGGGTTGAAACAACAAAATTTGAAAACAAACAACAATTGCACATGTAGGAATTTAAAAACTCTTTTTTATAATTTATCGTTGGAAATGTTTCAAATACCGTTAGACGTCGGCTAACTTCAGTATCACGAGAAGTTGATTTTATTTAACACTGCGACGTTCAATGAGTACAAATCGTCTGACTTATTAGTATTTTAAAACTTTATACAATTACAAATTAATAAATTTACAAAAAAAAAAAAAACACCTTTAAAAGAAGTGAAATTGAAAAGTCGCCCTTAAGTATCTAATTTTCCAGGATTCTTTGGTTTCTTCAGGAAGAATTGCTTCAGCTGTGAATCTGAAAGTACCCAACAATAGAAACAATAGGAGCACAGCAGAGGGTGCTTCTATTTTATTGATTATTCATAAATATTACTTTTTTCTTCGTGGTTACTCCTTTTCACGAATTTTGAATGATTTGGAAATATAAATAAAAAAAAATCTTTTTGATTTATCGATATTTTTAGTCGATAATTATCGATACTTTTAAAAATGCCGATACGATAAATATCGATATATTTTTTACTTGCACATCCCTAACGTTGTCAATTATGATTTATAATTACAGATAATATATTACAGAAATATACAGGACTGCAGCATTGAGTATTGTAGACGTAGGTCACATCCCTACTCATTCCCCATTTTCTATAATAGCATTAATTCAAATTAAATTTCACAATCACTTATAAACAAAGTAAAATAAAAATATTCATAATTCTGAGCCACCAGCATCCATAGACTTCCCGCACATTTGCACAGGTCGTCACTCCCTAAAGTGGGAGGTCGTCCCACACCGCGATGGCCAGTACGAGGCTGCCACTCGAGAATAGAGATCGTATCGCTTTTTCTGAGTACCGTATCTGAATCAGATTTCGATTTCAAAAATCAGATTTCGAAACTATGTATTTTAATATCTAGATATTTTACGGTCCCGTATCCACCTTGAATTCTAAAAAAAAAAAAAAAGAGTATTTAAAAGTTGATTCATTCTATGTACATAATTTTCCTGATATTTAAAACTTAACTTATTTACAATTATGTGTGGGTTAATAATTATTTAGATTCCTCTGGGTTTAAATTCACGTTTACGAACGTAAGCTGTTTGACTTTAATCGTCGAAAGTCTTGTTCGACGATCATTGTACCTATACCTAGCTAAAGCTATTACCAGTGATACCAACTGTTCAAAAAGAATACTTCTAAATAAATTCGAAAACCCACTAAAATTGACTAAATTCAAAAAACTTACTGAATTTAAAATCACGATTTTTTTATACTATTAAGGTAACATTAAAACATTACCTGATAAAATTAAAAATTTCATTAAAAATAGAAATTGAAGTAATATAAAAATGATTTATTTTAACATCTTATATATCGCTCAATAATTGACTTTGACATATTTTTAAAAACACGCAATCATGAGTGACAATATCTTTATAATTTGTGTAAGAAATAATACATTCAGTATTATAACTTAGGGCGGAAGAATTTAAAATATACACACAAAGCACATAAGCCTTGGTCTGATTTCCACCCAAGCAGCACAGCACTATTAAATTATATTTTTCTTTTTGTGTACTTTTATTTTTTTCCAAAAATATGAATAAAATTTAACGAATAAAAATATTCACAAAAAATTTACCTCCTAAAAAATTTACATTTATATTTTTCTTCCTTAATTTAGGCAGAAAATTCTTAAGTAGTAAGTTGGCATCCCTTACTATTACGTGCTTGGTACCAATGCAATCCAGCTCAAGACTAAACAAAATTTAAAGACATCGTTAATACCGTAATTCGTATTTAAATGCAACAGAGATTTTTTTCCATGCTGTTAAGATTCAAAATTACTTAACTGCGCGCTTTGTCGCCCGTTACGGCTCAAGGCTAAACAAAACAATAGAAATATAATAATGTCGTTGTAGTAATCTTTGATACCATGATTAGTATTTAATTAAAACGGATCTTATTTGCATGGTGTTAAGATTCAAAATTACTTAACTTATTCATAATATCTGTTTAAAAATCTGATATTGTGCCTTGCTTGCCGTACTGCTCTAACTAGTGTAATATTTGTATCTCACGCGCTTTGTCGCTCGATATCTGATATCGTGCATTGCTTGCCGTCCCGCTCTAACTAGTGAGTATTTATATCTCACGCGCTTTGTCGCTCGATATCTGATATCGTGCATTGCTTGCCGTCCCGCTCTAACTAGTGAGTATTTGTATCTCACGCGCTTTGTCCCTCGAAATCTGTTTAAAAATCAGATATTGTGGCAAACGCGTATGATATCGCGATTCGTGTCGGTATAGCGAGCGAGCACGGTACATCAGATTTCGGAAATATCAGATATTGTAAAATACATAGATATTGAACGAGCCAGTAAGCGATATTCGGATATTGTATTAGTATCTAGTTTTCATATCTGATACGATTTGTATCGCCCACTTCTAATTCCCTTCTTTTCTTGACAATTTACTGACTGCGCAGTGCGCATAAATATTTATTAAAAAATTTAATTCTCCTGCATGACATAGCATGATGATAAATATTAACTTGTTCATGATAAATATTAATTTGTTCATGATAAACATTACCTTGTTTAATTATGTTGTGTAATAATTACCAGTGCTTGCGAACGAAATAAGTGTGTTCATTGACGAATTCTTTAAAAAAAAACGCCGACAAAAAAGGAACTAGAAACTAAGGAGTAATATTTTTCCTGTTAACATTAAATACCTTGGTATAACGTTAGTAACATGGCAAAAAATGGGGTATTAAATAAGGTTTGTATTTTTATATGGCTTATGTGTTATTTACTTTTACTTACTCTTCTATCGCTGCATATATTTGACATTTTTATATGATATATCAAGATTCTCATTATTTACTTTGGTAGGGCCTCGCAAGTCTTTGCTGTTGCACAAATGGGCAGGTCCATCCGGGGAAGTAACACAACCTTTCAGAAAACTCACCTGAAGTGGCATAGTTATACTTCTGCGTTTCGTCTAGTGAGTGAGTAACTGGGGCCTAATTTATTATAAGGTGGCAACATATCTGCACTAACTTCCCATCTTCTTATACAAAAATAATAATAATTTTAAAACACTTATAATTTGACATAAATTTTTCTTAGGAATTTATCTTAAACTTTTGATTTAGATTTGAAAGTAACCAGATATCATAGTTCATATTTATAAAACTTTAGTTCTCAAATATGAAACTATTAGATAAATTGTAAAGTACAAGTGCAAATACTGTTTTATATCAATCAATATTTTAATTAAATTTCTTTTGGTTATTATGATTTCATATCATTGATATAAAGTTATAATATTATTAAATTGAAAATCAATACTAATAATATTTTAAAATGTAAAAAAAAAGTAGTGTCTAGCCTTTAAAATGTCCTCAGTACTGGGCAAAGGCCTCCTCCGTAAAGAGGGTATTAGGGCATAGTCAACCAGGCGACCCTATTCTGCGGGTTTCAAAAATATGTAGTTTTCTTCACACTGTTTCTTTCACAGCTGAGCATATGATAAGTCAGCACTAAAAATTAACAATTTCGTTTCATTGGTGCTGGATTGGGGTAATAGCTTGCTCGAGTAAATTCAATTAGAGTTAATCAATAACTGGTTCAATCATTAAAAATTAAAAATTTGTCCTTTATAATATTGTGCCTTAGGTTTTTCATAGCTGCCAAAACTATTTAGAAAATTTCACATCATCCATTTTAGGTAAGAAAGCTAAGTAATATCTTGTATATGCAGCATAGCTCAAGTGCATGCAGCTACTACAAATCTAAAACCTGGCAGTGGGATGTTGCACAATTTATGGGTATCAGGAAGAATCATGTAAAATATGCTGTAATCATGTTGAATCGTCCTGTATCGCAACAAATTAACTTTATTAAAAATTTTTGGAATAATGGTATGTTCGTTCTTAATTATATTGAAATTGTTTATTAACATCTTAAATTTAATCAGCAATTGATATAAGTAATGATTTTTAAATTGTAAATTTTTGTAGAAAATTGAACAAAAACTTTCGGAGCTGTGGAATTCGAACCTGCGTCTTCTGTTTTCGTGCCCAGACTCTACCAATGCTGCATATTTGGCAATCCTTGGCGCCATCTAGTGTACGTCCTTTACACCTTACAAAAAAATTCAACAATGAATATTTGTAACGAGAGATGCTGCCATTGCTTGCATCGAAATCTATTAAAATTATTTTTTTATTTTTAGTGCTAGTCTCTGATCTCAAGATGAAAATTGAAATTGTAAATTTTTGTAGTATTGAAATCAATAAATGATCAAAAACTTTTGGTGCTGCGGGATTCGAACCTGTGTCTTCCAGTTTCATGCCCAGACTCTTTACCAACTAAGCGGTGGCCGAGGATCTCATGGCGCATCTTATTACAGTTATTTTAAAATCATAAATGAAATCTAAAAATAATCACTATTTTAATTTCATGTTATTTTTTTTTAAATATATCATCAGTATGATATAATAACATTTTTAGCTACTGTTAGGATGACTGTCGATGGTGGAACATCCCAATGGGACTTATTTATTAAAAAGCTACCTCAAGAAGACCAAAATACTATTCATTTGCCCAATCTTGTAACTGGTGATTTTGATTCAATAACAGAAGAAGTATTAGAGAAATACAAAAAGAAAGGTTGTGAGGTGAACCATGAATTATAAGTTTTTAATTGAATTATTTCTGTGCATATTAGTAGATGGGAATAAAAATATTTAATAAATATAATTTAGTTATGAAGCGCAGACTACACTTGATATTATTGTAGCTTCTATTAGAGCATTTTAGCAGATAGTGGCTATCTGTTACTACACTTCCTCTCTATAACATGTCTTTGTTATAGGTCATCCAAACACCAGATCAAGACTATACAGATTTTACAAAAGCATTAATTGAATTGAATAAACATTGTTTGGCACATAAAATTGAGGTTTGTATAATTATGTAATATATAGAAAAGAAAAAAATATTTTGGACCCTGACAAGGGCAAAAGTGTTTAGAGCAACAACTTTCTGAATTACAAAGAAATTACAAATCCCAACACCAAGGCCCCCAGATATATTTACTAAATAACTAAATGGCTGGACTCACATACAATTGTGTTTGTATTGACTATTTTCCGACCTGTCTTGCACACTTGCATCGCACTAACCCTAATGAGGTCTTTCATTAGGGTCAGTGTGATGTTTTGCCATCTTGCACTGTGTCACAAAAGTTGTAATAATTTAAAGGCATATTTTTATAAATTTATATAAAAAAAGCTAGCAGATCTGATAGATGTTGGCCTGTACACTCATCATAAATCTGGAAATTTAAAACTTTTAAATAAGTTGGTGAATCTAAATCATTTCCAATCCTATTAACACAATCTATCTATCCACTTAAATACAGACAAAAAATTTCGTCAAAATCGGTCCAGCTGTTTAGGAGTGCCATACAGAAGCACAGATCAATTACATATATAATGATAACTTATTGATTTTTATTTCCTAGTCCTGAATTGACTAAAAACATTAATATGTAAATATTCACAAGATTAAATCTATCTAAAATTACATATTATCTAATAAACCTAATCCACACGGCATGGTGCCAAGAACGCTAGCTGCATTTCCTCGCTGAATAGTTATGCTTAACCTTTGAGCGAGAAAAGACCAGCTCACTTGTCACCAGCCGCGGCGTTAAGCCTAGGACATAAACTTTTAAAAAATTTTGATGTGCGGGAAATGTGTAATATGTAACTTGTACACAACATTTGTTAGTATCTACTAAAACTATAATTATGTTTCTTTTCTTTTAGATAAAGCATGCTATTGCCATAGCTCAAGCCTCAGGGAGAATTGATCACATATTGGGAAATCTACAAACATTATATCTGGCAAAACAGAAACAGTTGTTGGGTTATTCTACAAAGCTGTATATGCTGTCCGATGATGCAATATCTTGGTTACTTTTTCCGGGTAACCATGTTATTTTCATTCCAGAAGAAACAAGACAGTATAAAAAGTCTTGGTGTTCATTAGTGCCAATTGGTGAAAGCTGTATGAGTGTAACTACCAGTGGGCTAAAATGGAATTTAGGTAATCTTGTTTATTTTTCATTTTCTATATTTTATTTTACAGCAAATGAGGCTTTGAGCTTTCATGCAAAATAAGTGTTTTATATTTTTTAAATAATATGATACATTCTTATTTCAAATAACTTAAGCTTTCGGAGATGGATATGTATATGGTTACGGATAGTAAATTATTTCTGATTAGATTAGAATAATGTTGCTTATTGATGCTATTTTTTTTATGGCTTAAACTTTTACTTATTTTTATCCTTCGGTCAACAATACTAACAAGATATCGGTTTACCAAGCTAAGTAGTATCTCAGTAACTCAGAATACTGAAAGAACTTCCAGTTCTTCAAGTTATTTCTGTATATTTTTCTCGGTAAATAATGGCTCACTTACGTGACGGAAATTTCCAAAAATAATGCCCGAAAAAGCAATTTACTGGCCGATGTATTCTGCTTGCGGCATTACATGGGAATACTTCTTTTTAAGCCTTAAAATTAAGCCGTAAATAATATCAAAGTTTGAACAAAATACAGATTTTTAACTACCAAGAATGTTTGATCCAGGGTCGCGAAAAATGAAAATTTATGTTTGAAATTGGCGTTTAATATGGAAAAAATAGAACAAAAAAATATATACGAAATCATATATTTAATAAATCGAAGTATGTACCATCATTATCGATGTACTTTCACCATTTTATAGGTATTTAGATATATCAATAAAATCTTTAAAGGTGGTTTAAACTGCCCCATCAGAATTGAATTTTTTCCTTGTAACAAATTGCCCAAATTGAGAAAAAAGTGGTAATCTGTTGGAGCAAAGTCTAGAGAGTATGGTGGGTGTCGGAGATATTTCAATCGCAGCTCTAATTTATCAACCATCTGTCGGGAAGTGTGAGGCTGTGAGGTCTAGCGCTGTCCTGAACTAGCAATAGACTAGAGCAATTGACCGTTTCATAATTTGATACTGTTCACATTGCACATCTGCCGTAATCGTCTGCCTAAGGTGTAGTATATGATTGTAACACTGATCCATCAAAACCACACTGGTACTGTTTTTTAAGTCAACTTTTGCTTGGGACGGCATTAATCCGGTTTTACCTGGGTTCAACCACTGTGACGAGCGTTTCCGATTGCCATATAGGATCGATTTTTCATGACTAGTAACGATTAAAAATTCGCTCTTTATTGTCAGGGTTGAGTAATGTGAAGCAGCATTCAATGCGTTTGGTGGTGTGCTGCACTCAATTCGCGCGTTACCCATTTCTCGAGCTTTTTTCACTTTTCCAATTTATTTCAAGTGAATTAAAATCGTTAGTCATCGCTTCACTTACATCGATGTCTGCGGCTAACTCTAATGTTGTTTACGATGGATATGCTTCAAGGATCGCCTTTATTTCTATGTTGTCAACTAGGATATAGTCGTCCACGGGGTTTGTTTTGTAGAATAGAGAACAATATTTCAATAAAAATTGACCGATGTTAAAGAAAAATATAATGGCGTGAAAACAAATTAATCAATTCGAAACCGAAAATACACGGCCTAAGTAAATATGAATTTGGAATTAAAATTTATTTGAAATCGAAGTGGTCAGTTCGACGAAACGCAATTTCTTTTATGCAGAAAGGACTTCGCTTTGATTTTGTAAGTGACCCACTATCGAGTTGTTGTTGTTGATCTATGTTTCTATCTATTGTTGTTATAATTTATTTTTGTTAGTTTAATTTAGTAGGAAATATTATCATAAAAAACTTGAGTGAACTGTGCAAGCGAGTTGACCTATCAGAAGTTATTCGAAACTTTTCTGTCGGATTCGGTTTACAATCGGATCCGGATAGATTTTTAGTCAAGATTTTATAAAACATTTTCAACAATTAATATTAAATGAGTAATTAATGAGCAAATAAATTACTTAAATTGTCAATTTAGTAAAAATTAATTAACTAATATTTAATTATATAAGATAACAACTAATTATAAAAAAAAAATATAATTAAAAAAATGTGATGATTTAAATATGTCAATTTAGTAAATATTTTTAATATCTAAAATAAATATTTTTAGTTAAAACAGCTTCCTTTATTGTAACTATTATTTTATGATTTTAAAGTACTATACTTATAAATTAGTTCTGCAACAACATAATAATTAAATTAGTTCTTAATGCTCCTTTATTTTTAGATAATGCACCACTTCAATTTGGTGAATTAGTAAGTACTTCCAACGCATTTGATGGTTCTGAGGAGGTTAAGATAAGTTGTAGTAACACAGTTCTTTGGTCAATGAAAGTGCCCAATATATTATGTGAGTATCAATGATTTTACTTTTATAGTATGTTATACTTTTTTTGTTGATTCGGGTGATGTGCTAAGGATTTGTTTTAATTTTATTGATGTGTTACATTCAGAACATTTGTTACAGGATAAGGGGACAAAATGAAAGAAAATTAAATATAGTTTGGGCTAAGTGTGTGTTAAGTAAACTCTGTCACTTGGTGATTTTGAACGGGATTATTCTTATTGTTGATTAGTTATTGTAAGTAAAAACAAAAATATAAGATGGATTCAACATTTTTTCTTCAGCAGGGATAGGTTTGGAAATATTGACAAAATAAATTATAATTATTACTAAAATCAATGAATGTACTTACGTAACGAAAACTATCAGTCATGCATCAAATACTTAATTGTAATTCCTCATCTATAACCATAACGGCTATGCCTCATCTATAACCATAATCGATTTTTTTAATATTTTTTTTCTGTGTAGTTATACCTTATTAAAAATTTGTGCCTTATTTTAAAGGTTCTATTTTTTTTTTCATTATGAAAAAAAATCATATTTGTAGGAGTAGGACACTGCCAACAGTTAAGATTAATATTGTTTGAATGTAGCATGTAAGTCCCTAGAAAATATTGTGTTCAAACATTCCTCATATCCGACGACACTGCTGATGTTGGGATGAAATCCAAAGCTTGCGGAATCATATTCGAAGCTTTTTTCGCCACAAATCATCATAACTGATGATAGATTGCGCGCGACAAACAATCGTGTTGGCTTGTGCGACCAATATTCCCGGGCGCATACATTTAGGTCGCCTTAAAAGCGACTACTACGCAAAGAAAGCATGTTTCGAGATGTTCCAGCTAGTGTATGAGATTTAAATGCAACTTTATATTTTTTTTAATAATTAAATATTTCAGGACATGTTTTTACACAACATTATCTAGTCCCAAATTAATCTTGTACTTTAGGTACTAGGTAACTGATAAACATACCTTGAAATAATTTTCTATTTTAAATAAAGACACTAGAAAAACCCACAACCTCTGACGCGTTAGACAGGTTCACTATGCACTACTCCAATCGGGTCTTCGAAACTACATATAATTATATCGTTTACTCTATAGCGTAAATAGAGATTTCCATAGCCTACGATGCGTCATTCTGAGCTTCAGCTTATCGCATCCCGTCACTATACCCATGAATATATTCTTCATCTAGATCAATGTTTACAAAACTTTGCTCTACATAACCGTTTTTTACAACATTCTTTCGAAACACGTAATAGAAGTTATTTTGGTGTGAGTTTTTATAACATTTCCCATAGCTAAGACGAATATTTAATCAAGTTCTTAAAGTTTTCTATTTTTACGTGCCTTCAAATTGGTTGAAATCTGTTTTTTTATCTTATAAATATATTTATTTTTACTAAAAACTTGTTTCATTTTAGTTATAATAGTCGGACGTTATTTTTAACGAATGTATATGAATCTTACCACCTTTAAGACATGACTGTTCAATGAAGCCTCGAGTCCTCAATAAGGACGTTACTCGAGAGATATTAGGAATTGTCGCGTCTGCGTTTGATTGGTAATTTGCTCGAGTTACCCCAATAGATCTAGATGATTCTAGTCTCTCTAGAAGCAGTCTTGTTAGATCAGTAAGAAATCGACCGACGTCAAGAGCCCGCAATTGTGATAGATGTTTTTTCGATGCCACCTTGTACCGGTAATACGGAAGCATTTATATTGAACTAGTTGTTACTTAAGGGTATAGTCGGGCTTCCGAAAAACGTCTATAGTGCATTCATTAGTATTTTTTTTATACGGAGCTGAAACCTGGTGTCTCAGAAGTTGAGATATAAGCAAAATAAGGCTTTTGAAATGTGGTGCTAGAGTTGAATGCTAAAGATACAGTGGGCAGCCACGAAGACAAACGAATCATTTTTACAAGAGCTCCACATCAAAAAGCGACTTACCTCTCTATGCCGAACAACTATAATGAGAACGTCAACTAAGCTTCCTTGTTCTTTGAACATATAATGCGATCATAAATATGCATATAGAGAGTTGGGGAAGCAGTTGATCGTGGGACAGGTGCAAAGAAGCGCTCCATGGGCCTAATTCCGAAATGTATAAAATTATTGTAGAAGCAAAGAACATGGAGACAAATCATACGGTTACGATTCTCATTAGTGAGGGAACAACAAAGAAGAGAGCTGTTTCTTTAGGTATAGTGTGTAAGCAATCGTAGAGCGAGAGGTTACGCAATAATTCACCTTGTTAACGTATACAGGAAAATACTTGCAAGTTACAAGTATTTCGGATACCAGATTCGAATGCTGATACAGTGGTTATATAATGTGTATCCTTCTTTTTTTACTTGCTGACTAGCATTAGTGTTATATAACGGTTTATTAAGAAATGCAGTAACAGTCCTGCCGTTTTAAGAATCTTAACATTAAGCAATCCTAAATAAATTTTCATATTAAAAATCTTACGATTTAAATGCTATAACCACTGCAGTAAGCTGAGATTTTTAATTAATAATTCTGGTTTTATATCGTCTGGATGCATTTAAAGTTTGCTTAAATATTATTTGAATAAACCCTTGGCTATTTTGCGACTCTCTGATTAATTTGCATCCATTGATTTTTATAGTATAAAATATCATTGTCAACCAATGATATTAATTATACTACGAAATTTCATTGTTTGCATCTAGATTATTTCCTTTTTATCCTTCTAAAACAAAAATGGATGAATGATAACACCATAACTATACTACACGATTAGGTTACGTACCTAACATCTACAAAAAAACCTATTGTTATAATAGATAATGCCTCAAATGTATATTACTTATTATTTCGTACGAAAATATGTTAAAATTATTGGAAAAGTAAATTGTAACATAACAGCGACGATACTTTATTCACACTCAATAATTTGCAAATAGCGCCGGAGGCTGTATGAATTTGACAATGCTACCAACCGTACGACGAGATCACGAGATAGCTCTCATCTCCTTATCATCAGCTGATGTCGCCTGCAAATAACCGAGACACGATTTTATTTACTCGTGCGCAACCGTCGGAGGATTTTTTACTGAAGTGAGTATGAATTCTAAAATAATTTTATATTTATGCGTTCCTGGATAGGTGTTACAAAGTTATTTGCTGCAAAGATAGTTAGAATTCGTCTGGAGTGCACAAATTAACACAAGTTTGTATTTTAAAAACTTCACGATGCTCACGATTTCAGTACTTTAAGTTTTACAGAGAGCGTTTGATTTTACGGAACATGTAGTTTTCGCTTATTTCATGGTGTTTATTATTCTTTCCGTTGGATGAACAAGCGCGCCAATGAAACAAAAAATGTAATGGACGCATCACGAATTGTGTTGGTCACATGCGCGGGGGCACCAACATCACGCGCGCTGTTTAGTTTGCTGTTGCGCGGTGATCGCGCGAAACGTGTTTGCGGTGGTCATACTCTTGATAAAAATTTACTGGTAGGTTCGTTTTTTTTTAAATTTTATTTCGTCAACTTTCAATTTTATATTAATGTTAAGAGAGATAACTGATATAATTAAATTAACCTTCGCTTAAATAAATTTGATTTGAAACTTCTAGCCGATAGTGATTGCTTCGAATACTTTTGTCGCTGCAAATGAAATGGTTAGTAATCCAAGCGACTTCAATACTGCTTATTTTCTTTATTTATTTATTAAAAAATAATTAATCACCTTAATTGGAATCACCTATTGTAAAATTATTCCATTGCCATTATTGAATTATAATTATTGCATTCTCAAGGCCCACGTACAGGATAAGCCCTATAAGTAGTACAATAGGATTCTAAATTATTTTTTATAATACCAAATTAATATTAATTGCTTAATTGATGTAAGAAAACTAAACAAAAATTTCGAAAATTAAAAGAAATACTGATTTTAATACGTAATTGAAATAAAATTATATAAGGATATCATTTATTTATATAAAGATTTTAAATGTCGATATTCATATATTACCTAGATATAAAAGTTATTCATTATCTCACACTAGGTCCATGGATTAAGTGTCGTTAAGTTGTCATTAAGTCAATCGTTAACACACTCCTAGCTTAGCGCGAGTTTTTATTAACATGTTGAGTTATAATTCTGCCAGAGAAAAAAGATCTTTTAAAAGTTGGTTGAAGATTGTAAATAGTTCGCTTTGCATTTGGTTCTAGACTATACCGCCACAACCTTTTACTTAGATGAATATTAAGAGTCTTTATTAATAATAGCGCTATTATCTCTTTCTCCCGGGAAATATTTGTATAGCCGGGAAAAAAAGTCTGAGTATTTTAGTAAGTACTTTTAGTCAACATTACTCTTACTGACGTAGAACATAATTCTGTGTTGTATGATAGATATTAGACGCGTCAATTTCTTAATATTTCAATGCGCGATTGTAAATAGGTCCAAAAATAGCCCTTCCACCCCTAGGCTGCTTTTCCGAGTTTTCGTGTATTTAAAATATGTATTTAATTAAAATTAAGGAGAAGGATTCGAAATGAGGTCCATAAGCATTTTTTCATTTTCATTTTAATAATTAAATCGTTCAGCATTACATTTAATTTTATTTTTTTTCTTAATTACAGAATTATGTAATAAAATACATACTCGTGAAATAAAAAATATTATTCATATATCTCAGGAAAGGGTCACGTCAATCAAACATAAAACACTGAGATAAAAATCTACTAGCGTTGTTAGATAAGATCGACTAGGTATATAAAATGTTTCCTTCAGTAATTTTACTTCCGTCGAGTACTACTTTTGAGAGTAGTTTTTACTTTCCTTACCTTTATATTATGTAATTTCTTCTGACAAAATAATAATAATAAATTAGTAAAAGGCGATTATAAGATATGATCGACTTCTCTCGTCTATACCCTGTTTACAAGGAAAGAAATATATTGTAATTCTGTTACGATATATTTCAAATATTTTAAATTCATTTTTATATTCATTTCCTATCTGAGGATCATTAGGACATTTAATACTAACATGCCAGTAATATTTAGGCCTCTAAGTTTTACATTTTTTGCAACAAATTCACATAAAAAATAAAAGAAAACCTTCGGGACAG